AACCGTTAGGTCTGTCGACTGCAGGGAAGCATCAAAGGTGACCATGCAACTTGCGTGATCAGAACCTTCTGACGTCAGAGTTTCCTCATCAGGCGCGAGAGGAATCTCCACATCAGATGTTATGTCATAATTTTTCCTCAGTTTTGAGATATTAACGCGGACGATGCGTGTTCCAAGATCCACACCTACCATGGATCCTCCGAGTTCGGAGATCACTTTTCCTTTTAGCCAAGATCCATGTTTGGACCCAGTTGATCCAATCTTAGACTTATCCTCTGACCAGTAGAAAACCTTGTCTCCCAAGAGAAAGGTCCTTCGGTCATTGACAGTCTGGCCGCAAGATCTCTGCGCAGATCATCAGATTGGCGTGCCTCTTGGTAAGCCCTGTTGGCAAGCTCCTTAATGGCTCTCGCAGTGACTTCCGTATCAGTTGGATTACCTGTCAACTGATTGGGATCAGCGTTCTCTGGTGTTATAACATCTCGAGGACGCCTACCAAAGGCCATTTCTAAAGGAGTAACTCCTCCGTAGGTAATCGAAGAGTTTCTTGCCAAACATGCTTGTCGAACGAGGTTGCCATACTTCATGGTGATTCCGTTATACTGCGGGTCACCATCCTTCAGGATCTGAAGTATGATCTTAATCTGATGCTTCAGCAATCTTACAGCAGCTTCGGCCCTGTTGGGCCATGGTGTTCCAGGTCCTGTTGCTACAGGCTTGATATTCTGCCGATTGTAATAAGCCTCCATTTTTGGAGTCATGAATGCTTGATCTCCAACTACAACCTTTGGGTTGATCTGAAATTTCTCAAAGTAGTCATTCATAATCGACATTGTAGTATGCTCTTCTTTATCCTGGACTACTTCGGAAGTCAACAGGTTTGTTGCTCCGTCATAGAGAATAAGAAATATTAAGCGACTATTCTTGCCGGGAATTGGAAGCTCACCGTGATCTACGAAGGTGAGATCACCGAAAGTCTCTGATCTTAAACCGGAAATCTTCGCTCTTGAAGGAGCTCTCACGTGTTCCTGACAGGCTGAACACTTTTTGACCAGTTGGTCATATAGCTGATATATCTCCTTTGGGATCTGTAAGGCTTTCGTGCGTCGCTTGAACTGATCCGTACTCATATGACGGTGCTTAAGGTGAAGCTTATAGAGTTCTACAGGGTCCTTAAGCTTCTCATGAATCCTGCGAAGAGCAATGGGAAGAGATGGCGATGGTTCTGCGACAGTCTCTTCACCTGTAGGTGAGTCTGTACCAGGAGCCGGGTATTCTCTTGACTCAAGTGGTCTTACCTCCGTCCCGTCATCAGCTCCTGGGACTGTAGACTTCTCTTCAACAGGAGGTTTGACCGCATATTTGCGGGTTTTCTTCAGAAGGTTTTTAAGACCCTTTGGAGTCTTTGTCTTCGCAGGTGGAACCTCAAGTCTTTCTTCTTCTGGAGGTTCGTGCGGTGCAGATGATTCTGCAGGTTTGTCTCTAGAGCCTGATGATGGTTCCGGCGGTTCGGAAGGCTCAGGAGCATCACCAGATAGTTCTGGTGGATCGGGTTTCTTGGCAGATGATTCTGCCGGATCAGATGGAAGAGGCTTCTTCTTACCTAGAATGCCCTTCGGTGGTGGATCAGCTGCTCCCTCAGGTGCCTTGTCGCAACCTTTGAGGTACGTATGAGCCCTTTTCTGTCCTGCGCAGGCTGGACAGCGACCTTCCGGAATCCTAGTATAAGATCTTCCTTCTTCCTTTGGCTTCCTAGCTCCTAGAGCAGTCTCTGTCGCACTGAACGACGTACCTAATTTAGGGAGATACTTCCTGGTGGAAGTGAAGCCTAGAAGGTCCAATACCAAATGGGTATTGGTACTAATCGGAAGAGGGGTTTTATACAAACCGAAAGCTTCACACGTTGCTAGGTCAGCTGTGGGACTACACTCGAGGGTCATTCTTAGATTCCTCATCTGTTCGATGGAGAACAAAATGGGAACTCTCCCCTGATCCAGAACTTCTATGGTTGTATCTCTTCTTGGAGTTGTGTTGAACCATAGAGTTACACGCTCCTTGATAAGAGCTGTTTCACTATCTGCGAAAGAGAACTTCGTGTTCGAAGGTGAGAAAGTGAAATCAATCATGCCTGGGGCACGTTGCTTCACGGCCTTGATAAGCCTGTTCACCGCATAGCGGGAACCCATAGCCCTAGTACAACCTGAGTCAAGTATGACAAAGGTAGGGTTCTTATCAAGATTGATCCGCTCTGTGAGAGCAGATAGGACGGTGTGCTGCAACGGAAACACCGCTGTTGCAGTTTCAACACCTTGCCCCTCGGATGGTTCAAAGACCTGGGGCACGTAACTCACTGATGAGTTGAACACGGGTTCTTGGTGCGCGCTCGGATCTGTGCCTCTACCTGATGATCCTGCTTGATTTCTTCTCTTCTTTCTCCGTGTTTTTCTTCGTGAGGCTTGTGATGCATAGTATGTATAAGACGTTTGATCGTCATAAGCGGCATAATTCCAACTGGAGTCAGTATAATAACTGTCCTCATACCATGAATCCCAGCTCGGTGCGGTGGAACTCTCATAGGCCTGTGGAGATCCAGTTTGGTCTCCTTGTAAGGAGGCAGACTTAGCTGTATCCTTACCTTTGCCTTTTGCCTTTGCGCCCTTGAAGGAGCTTCCTTTATCTCCTTTGTCCTTTCCTTTTCCTTTGCCTTTTCCACCTTTTCCTTTTTCCTTTCCTTTACCTTTACCGAAATAGCTGGAATCAGTTGGATCATGTTCTGCCTGGTTGGCTCTCCCTTTTCCGCGGTATGACCTAAAACGGCCACGTCCTTTTCGCTTGCCACCCTTTGCTCTTCCCGGTGATCCGGGACGCATTCTTGGTCTTCTTCCCTTTTTGAATCTCCTTGCAACGAAGGCCTCATGGTCATCAACTGTCCAGAAGACAGCTTCTTCATCCTCGGCGGCAAGAAAGCCTTCCTCAAGGGTGTCTTCGTCTTGGAGCCAGAATCCATCGACTCCATCGTATTCACCCTGATCGAGGATGAGGAAGTTTCGACCTCCGCGTTTGCGGCGTTGGTCTCTCCTTCCATGGCGGTCCTTCTTGTGAGAAGAGTGCCGAATGTTGGGATCCTGCAGACCAGTTCTGGTCGTTGAGAACTGATCGAACATGGTCTGCCGTACCACAGGGTACGTGTAGGTCTCAATTCGGTGACCTTGGTTGGTCAATGCTGTTACCAACCTCTCACGTTGCATCTCATTTAGGTCGGACTGCACTAGGAAGAGGAGAGCTAGGAGATTATCGTTCAGAGGAAACGCTCTTCGATGATTGTCAAGGCGTTCCTTGTTCCATGTTTCGAAGAAACGTGCGGCGTATGTGTCTCTCTCGGTTGCATCCTGTAGGCGCAAGAAGGTTTGATCTGCCTGCACAGCTTGCATGAAATCTGGATGGGCATCCTCCAGAGCTATCTCTGGTAAGAGATCCATCCATGAGTTTTTCACGCGCTGTAGCACGATCTCAAACTTGGCAATCCAAGTCACAAAGTCTTGGTTGCCCTTCCATGCCTTGAATAGGCCGAGGAAACGCCACAGGAAAACGTACTGTTCTCCTTTCACGAAAAATGGACGCATCTTCTTCTTGAAGTAATCTACTCCATCTGGGGCTGCAAGCCTTTCTCGGTTCAGTGATTCCTTTTGTACTGCGGCCAATCCGGAGAGCCTCGTCTTGAGAGACGGACCTCTTTTGGTGTCATCCAGCGTTGTTATGTCGCACCAGTCGTCAATCAACTGTTCATACTCAAACCACGAGGTGGTGCCATCATAGGCAGGCGCGATCTTGGGCGTTATGCCTAATGATGCAAGCATGCGGTCAGATGTTGCATATGACTGTGCGACATAAGTGGCTGGACCTTGGGAGGTCTCTTCGTTCTCATATCCCCCGGAGGATTGGGAACTGCCGTCGGCTTCGCTATGCGAGCTCGACATTGTGCTGCCTCTTATCCGCTTGGTTAAGCGTTCGGCGAGGCCGACCGCTGTAGCGGACTTTAGGAGGCGGGCGGCCCTTTCCGGGCTCCGCTACCAGAAAACTGTGCCGATACACCCACAAGGAAATGCTCCTTGTTAGGAGGTGTATGACCAGTTTATTCCCTAAGGATCAAAGGGCAGCGCCCTGCACACGGACAGTAGTTGTTTTGTCTTGCTACGCAAGGAGAGCTTGTCTTGTCTCAATATGGTAAAACCACTGTGAGCCAATGGGCAGCGGAATGTATATGTATGAGCATGCAGCCATTGCTGTAGGTACCTGTTAGAGCTACCCCTTTAGAGGTTTACGGAATCACCCCCCCCCCCTATCATGAGGTCCCCCCCTCCCCCCCCCTCCTCAAGGTCCCTTGGTTTTGTTTGTGTCTGACGTTCGGCGACTGAAGTGCGGTCTTCTCTCCAGAGTTACCTCTAGTTGTCGTTCGCACATTACTTTCTCAAGAGTTAAATGAACGAGCAACGCCTGTACCCTTCACCGGCCCAAACTTTCCCTCCGCTACTGTCGTGCACATCGCTTTGCAGAGCTCAGCACCGGACCTCGTGCTTCTAGCTTTCGTGACCAGCTCTCAAGTGGCCTGGCGGTACGAATTATAAAGGTATGTCGTCTGTGTTTGCGCTCAGTTTAATAAGAGCAACCGTCGTAAAGATAGCCCACTAAGGCCCAGACCGGAGCGTGCTTTACCCGAGGACCAGACTCCCTCTCTCTGTCTGTGGCTCTCTCTCTCTCTCAATCTCTCTCTCGCTCTCTCTCCTGTGTCCGGACGCGGTGTCCATGATAGATTGAATATGGTAGTCCTGAAGCCATGCCGGCCCTGAAGCGAGTGTGTGAGCCGAAACATAGCACGACTACAGTTAATGCAGAACTTCTAGTGAAAGTCTGTTCCAGAATCAGAATCAGCTGTCGGCACAAGGAGTTCAGATAACCATCATGGGCTGCTTCATGTTCCATGAGCGACTGTGCTTTGGCAGGCTTTGTTCGCCTTCCCACGAACAAGCTGGACTCAGTGCTGCAAGCGCTTGCAAGCAGAGGTGACTTTGCCAAGGTAGCATGCAAAAGTTTTTGTTAGGTCGGATCCTCCCGGTCCAGGTCCACTCGTAGTCGGGGCGGATGCGTCCCGGTGGGATGTCTACGGCCACGGAATCTTCGATGGCTGCGATCGGGATGCCACGATTAACCACGCCGTGGTCTTGGTAGGCAGGTGTGCAAAGTTGATGTTCGTTGACGGCTGGCTCTTTGTGACCGTGACCTGTGCATTCGGTGTCAAGTGGACCCTCTGCCCATCATTCAGGCTATGGCCGGGACATTCTGGGTAAAGACTATTTCCTGATTCGAAACTCGTGGGGCAAGGCGCATCTGCGGGCCATCCACTGTTTCTGGTGCCTACATCCTTTTTGCAGGCTTGGGGCGAAGATGGATACATGCGTTTACTGCGGCTTTCCAGTGATGCTTGACCTGCATCCGGAGCGTGTGAGTTGGCGTGCATTGTGCCTTCCAGTTGCAAGTTCAACCGTGCTCACGCTGCTGGACTGTTGGCTAGGATCAGGGCGAACAGGGCCACTGCGGGCTGGATCGCAAGCCCCAGGAAGGAGTTTGGTGTGAAGGCGGTGCGCCACAAGTGCCTGCCACTTGGCGCAAAAGGTTTGCAGCCGCGGTAGCTGGAATACCCTGACCTCTTCAGGTGTGCGGCATGTGTGGCATTCTGTCCGATGCCACTCATCCCAACACAGTCACGATTTCAGACGCTTGGCTGTGTTATGCTGTGTTCAATGATGCAATGTGCGGACTTCAGCCAGTCGAATAGGGTTCGTTGGATCGCGGCAGCACCTGCACCTGCAATGCCCTACTGTAGGACAGTGCATTCACATTGTGCTGTGGAGTTAGAATCCGTCGCGGACGGTCTGGAGGGTATGAGTCGGCTTGGTTTGTGCATGATTGACTGCTCGTGGCTGCTTCGGCTGGCAGTGCTGCACGGCAACATGTCCATGCGCCGCAGTGTGAGTGAGCCATCTCTTGGCCGAAGTGGGTCCGTCGGAGCATTCTCGAGATCGCGGCGTTTTGAACCGCCAGAGCCGTTTTGGGTGAGTTACTCCAGACGGCACGGCGGTTATCCATCTGTTCCCTCATCGCCGAGTGCACAAAGAAAGCCCGGGAGTACCAACAGGCCACAGCCGCCGGGTGTGCGCCCTTTCCAGAAGTCCACATCCTTCAGCGACGTTGCACCGAGGCCACCGCCAGTTCATGAGTTGGTACCGAACCAGCTGAAAAACAAAGTTTTGGAACTGGTTCGCGAGTCCCCCCAAGGCCCGAAACAGAGAGGATCAGTGGTTATTGAGATGAGCTGGAGTGAGAGCGGCTATTTGCCTGCCCATGCCCAACCTTCGAGCCAGGATCCTAACAACTTTACCTGGGGTGAGAAGTACAAGCGGCTCGCGGGAGAACTCAGACAGGTCCTGGCTGACAAGGCTATCAGCGTCACTGATTTCAAGACTCCGGTGCTCAAGAAGAGCCAGCGCATCTATGACAGGTACTCGGAATGGGAACGGCGCCTGCCAAAGAGCACGCCGTCGAATGCTTCACATAAGTCCTCGGTTCCAAGCCGGCTCGGTGCGTTCGAAGTTCATCTCGTCCAGAGCACCTGGGATCCCGAGCGCTGCTGTCCAGCCACCCTGGGGAACCACAGGCACTCGAAGAATACTAGAAGTAATTAACAACCCTAAGATACCTAGTAGTAGAGTAGGCAACTTTAACCTTTTTTGGGTAGTATAGTCCCTATCTAATCCCTATATAGCCAAAAAGCTTAACCTTTGGTTCCCCATGATACCCGACGAGTAGGGATAGTGGTGGAACTACAAGCACAATCCCTGCTCCCCAGGCACCAGGGCCCTGCTGTGAACCTGCCGGAGGGCATCTTCTGCGCAGCCTGTGCAGAAGTTCTGCGTGACGAAAGGCCAATGACATACACCAAGGTGCCGGCCTGAGATTTTGCTGCACGCAGTTGAGAGAGGTCATTTCTTAACGCTTCGCCTGGCCCTTTTTTCCTTTGCTGCAGGAGCATCTGAAAGAGCAGCACATGCTCCTCCACTCGAAGCTTTGGACCCGGCGCTGGCCCGGTCTTAAGCCGCTGCTTGTGCGCATTGGGATCGCGCTTCGGCGGGCACGCAGTGTAGGGTTATAAGGTTTAAGGTTGAAGGGAGTTTTGCCAGATGCGAAAGGGGGTTGCAGAGTTTATAGGGTACTGTGAGACTAAGACTGGCGCTCCGAGTAGTCTTAGTCGCAAGACTGTAGGCATCAACACAGGGCCGTACTGATAGAGAAGCCCATAGTTCAGCTGATAGGAAATGAAGAGGGCCATTGGCCCGTTGCCCAATACCCCTTACTCAGAGGTACAGGCCTTCAATCACAAGATTCATCCCCTCATAGTTCGTGCCCTTGCATTGCGAGACACTTAATGATGGCATGGCAGAGAGAGGGATGGTTCGAGGTACACATTCCTGACTTTTCAGGGTTTCTTGGGGCTCTCTCATGGGACGCGACAGGCCACGGTACCACCTCCACCACTGGTGGCCAGACCGGTCCGGTTGGTCGAAGTGGATCGTCCGGTGTGCAAGGATGCGGATTTGGCTCCGAGATGTCTGACCTTTGAGCGGAAACCCCTGAAGTGTCCGGAGGATCCGGCAGAAATAATTCGGAAGAAGATGAGTGCCCTCGATTGCCCGGCGCAGAAGGGATGGATTCTGGACTTGAGTATGGGTGCTGAGGTCTTGTGCAAATGCGGTGGAGGAAGCCACCAGCTAAGCATTGGTGCGGTTATTGCAGAAATTCAGCCTTTAGGCTTTGATGCTGACTCTTTCCGACGCTTCGTGGAGCAGAAGCGCGAGCAGTTTGAGGGCGAAGACGTGAATACTTTTCTGAGGTCTTTTCTTGATACAGAAGGTCAGGAGGTCATGGCCAGGCTTGTTTCCGCAAGACGGCAAAAAGTCCAAGATCAGAGGGATCTTGAGGAGTCTGCCTTTCAGCGCCTCCTAGCCTCGAAAGAAGACCTCATGAGCCAGCAGCGGGATATCTGCGAGGCTTACAGCACCGCACTCCGGGAGGGCCAGGTCCAAGCTGAAAGAGTCTTTGTCAAGTACTGCCTTACCTGTGCTACTTCTGTTCCAGGAGCACAGGTGAACATTGATCCCGACAGCACCTCGGTAGAGGACGCGCTGGAGGAGTTGGACAGGGCCAAGCAGCTGAATGAGACCCTGGAGAAAGCCTGGGTTGACTGGGAAGAGGTGATCGAATGCTGGTTGGATGTGCCCGAGGTTTTCCAACAGCGGCCAGACCTTGCCAATGCAAACTTCGACAAAGATGATGCGGAGGCGAAGGGGGCTCAGTTGAGGAAGCAGGCTGACATGATCCGCCGGAAGATGACCAAGTGTCTTCCAGACCGTAATGATTATTCTGACCGGCTTCTCCGAATACAGGAGGAGTGGGCACACTGTGTCGAAGAGTATAGGGAAAGCACCGAGGGTTTTCTGGTAGACGATTGCAGGATGCCAGCTTAATGCCTCACTATGCTGTTTATGCGGGCGGCTTCATGAGCAGCCTTCGCGCAGCTGTACAGCTTTCTTTTGCGTGATGTTCTGAGGTCTTGAAGCTGGCGGTAAATTCCACGCCAAGCTGCCTCCGTACAAGAGCATGTGAGCCCGAAAGCTGACCAAAATACTGCAGACATCAAGCTGTCCAGTGTGCCGTCGTAGGTAGTGCGCCGGCCGAAGCGTTTCGGCCCCTCCACAGATAACAGCTCCAAGTGCAAGCACTTGCGATCTCTGAAACCTTCAGGATTGGCCCTGAAGGACTACGTGATGCTGGAGAGCCGACCGCAGATGCAAAATGGATCCCTTCGAAATTCTGCTGAGCTGTAGGTTTCAGAGCACGTCATCGCGAGCCTACAGCTGAATAATATTGGAGAAGATGAGTAAATTACGCGAACGTGATTCCAGCAGCTGTAACGTAGCAGAATGAGTGGGGGCGGCATTGGCGGTGGTAGCAGTAGTAGTCTCAGTAGTCGTCGTCGCCGTAGTAGCTGTAGCAGCAGCAGCACCTTATTCGTCGTCGCCGTAGTAGTAACTGTAGTGGCTGTGGTAGGGCTTTCTCCACACAGACATACTTGCACACAGCTGAACAGACACACAGACAGAGATGGACAGGGACAGACAGAGACAGACAGGAACAGACAGCGACGGACAGAGAGGACAGAGACTGACAGAGACGGACAGAGACAGACAGACTTCGCTCTTTTACATGCGCATATACCTACAGACACACGTACCCAGATACACACTCATATACTTTCATAGATAACAAGTTACATGCATACAACATATACATATATATATACACATATGTATAGAGATGTACACACACACATACACGCATGGACACACACGTACACGTACTTATACAAAACATGTCACATCTGCACGTGTGCAGGCATGTGCGCATGCATTGAACGGATGATTGCAGGCATGGTGGCATAGATTTCTTGGGGCCGCACCGAGGCGACGCCCAGCATGGCTCATTCAAAGATTGGTGCTGGACTGAGCATGGGAGCCTGCTGTCTGCCGAATTCCGCTAGCTGGAATGGAAGCGCAAAGTTGCTTAGATGGCCGCGACTACGGTGGTGCTGTTGCTGGCAGCAAGCTCGCAGGCAAGTGGCACTTGCAGATAGTGGCATTTATACGAATCACCCAAGTGCGGACGCAAGTGCACATGCAGCTGTCATCCCGCTCAAGGCTGCGATGCTCAGGCGCACCGCTGCAATCCGAGTGGACAGTGGATGGCTTTGTCACTCGCGCCTCGGTAGGCTGGCGGCTCCGACGCGACCCAAAGATGAAGCGCCCCGGTCTTGGTGTCCGGCGTCGCGTGCGGTGCAGGCGTGGCATGAGCTAGCAATGCCGCCTTCAGTTCGCCTGGGCCAGCGTAACAGCATTTCTGGTTACCTACAGGTCCAGACCCTTCGACATGCACTCTTGCACATATGTTTGCGCACGCACACGCAGTTGGGCACTGGTACAGGTTGTGCAGCTGATGTTGAACGAGAGCGTGAGCAAAACTCGCCTGTAGTCTACACATGCAAAGCTAGGGGAAGGGTCTAAACTTCTAAACGAAACATCATGAACACCTCTCGACAGAAATGCAAGTGTAAGTCACACCACGGCAAGGCCCAAAATCGAGTGTCAAAAGAATGTCTGCTTGATGTGTATATATGTTAATATGTGTGCATACACACAGTTTAGCATACATTGACATGTCCGTCTATGTACATGCGTGTATAAATATACACAACCGTATTATATTATGTATACGTAAGTAAAAGTATATATCTATCTACATATACATACATATATATATCTATATATATATATATATATATATATATAGATAGCGCACGCTTCCAGTTGCTCACTGGTGCCGCTGCTCCTGCTGTCGCCGTCGAGCTTCTCACATGCATGGGTAAGCAATTAGTCACGTTGCCCGGCGACTGTAATGTCAGGTCGCTGGGGCGCTCGCAATTGGGTGCATGGCGTGTACACACTTCGTTTGGTACGTTTCGGAAGGAGAGTTGGCGTCTTTACCTCGCAGCTGTGGCAGGGCGAGGGAGGGAAATACAGATAGATAGGTACGAACGTAAGGCAGGAAGGAAGTATGTATGCATCTATGCATGTACGTATGTACCGGTATATATATATATATATACACATCCATACATACTTGTACACACGTACGTACAAATGTACATGCGAACATGCGTACATGCATGCAGACAGATTATACGTTTCTTACGACCATGCATGAATGCATACATGCATGCACGCACACTCACATCCACTCACGCGTAGATGCATACCTGTCCATCCATCCGCCCATCCATCCATCCGTGCACCCATCCATCCACCTATCCCTCCCTCCCATCCTCCTTCCGTCCGTCCATCCATCCATCCATATATCCATCCATCCATCGATGCATCGATGCATCGATGCATCCATCCATCCACCCACCCACCCATCCAGCCAGCAGTATATAAGGACATTCCAGTACCATACATGGCTACATCGATATGTACTTTTAAGGAAATGTGCAAGGCACATGGTGGATCGCCGGAAAGATTGCGTCAAAGATTGCGAGGCTCACGCAGACATGTGCTCTCAGGTCCAAAACTCCTGCAGAAACTGCTGTGGTGGCTCGCCAGGAGGTGGGGTCTCAGTCTTGTGCAGCTGAAAGAAGAGATTTGGCTGCAAGTGACCGTGTTTGCATGCCGAGGCGGACTACGTCATCGGCGATGTATGGCGAAATGGGACCTGGACGGGAAGCCTTTGCGACACTGGCAGTCACTGATCCGTTGTGAAAAGGCTGTGAAGGCTCATGCCTGAAATCTTGCCTCAATCCAGATCTGTCTGGCAAGTCCATGCAGCTAGACGTCCATGCAAACTCAGCACAGAGTCCAACATATGGAGGGTCAACATCTGTTGTGGTCATGAACACCTCTGCTTTTCACCAAAACGTCGTAGATGTAACAAGACCTCAAGCTTTTGCAGCTCTTCTACACCCGGCCGCTCCCAGACCCCGGAACCCTCGAGTGCCCGACTCAGGTAATGTATTTCCAAGCCTTAATATATATATATATATATATATATATATACAAACCCTAAAGCCAGTCACGCACCCTACATCCTGCTGCTTGCAGCGCAGGAGGCGAGCCGTGGAGGTCAACACGGAGGGGCTTGGTGGGCGCCTGGCTAAAGGCCTCCAGGATCGATTTCTTTCGTTTGTGCTAGTTTATGTGGCTTGTATGTAGCATCATGTGACCTTGCGCCCCTTGTGATGTAACCATGTGGCAGTATCTCATGATGATGGGTCTTGCTCCTGTTGCTCGGTGTGAGTCTTGGTGTTTCGAAGTCCGAAGCAGTCTTGTGGCATGTGGTAATTGGACAGCAGCCGTTGCTGGCCCGAGGTGTACTTGCACCGTTTTTCTTTCCATGTTTGTGTCGAAAGGACCGGGCCCGGCAAGATGGCGGAGACTGCTTGGCGTGGCTCGAAGAAGCATTACCTACACACCTAATATGGTGTCCATGGAGGCGCTGCGTGCCAGGCAGCCGAAGTCACTGCTCCAGACGGACGTCTTTCGCACAGTGCCCCCATCCGACTTGACACCTACCGATCTCGCAGATCTGGCCTCCAGTCAGGTCCTCACCGATCCTGCCAAGGTCCTGGAAGTGTATAAGCGCCATGTATCCAGTGGTGGTGCAGACTCAGCTGTGTTGATCCGGGCATTCGCACAGCTGGGATTCCTGTTTGATCCGAATTCATTCTTTTCGACTGCGGATCGACAGCTTCTGACGAAACATAAGACTTTCCGATCCTTGGCGCACGATCTCTGGAAGGTGCAAGGAGAGCTGCCCGATGCTGTTGCACCGCTCTTGCTCTACTCCATGGCCTGCCTGGACTATCGTTGCGTTCCGCTCCTTCCCCATCTCCTGGATGCCGTCGAGCGCAGCATGGCGAACTTCCGGACGGAGGCCTTGTCCCTTTGTCAAAGTTGGTAACATTTTACATTTTCATTGGTAAAAACCAAATAAGGAATAAAAAGATAAATTTTTAACCCGATCCCAACCATGAACTAGGTCCCTCCTGTTGCATTCGATTGCTTCCCTGGGCCTCGGCGGTGAACAAGTGATTTTCGATGACCTGGACGGGCGCAGAACACGTGATTATAGCCAGCTCTCTGGGCAGATCCTTCAGGAGTTGGGCAGGCGAGCCTTGCTCGAAGATTCGGACGGAAGCGTCCATGACTGGTCAAGGGCAGCTTTCGCTGTGGTTATGTCCGGGCTCTATGATGTCAGCGAGACAGGGCAGGGCTATCCAGTACTTCCGCTTCTTATAGTCCGTGCATGTGAGCAGCTGCAGGACAAGTCCGAACTGGAGCAGTCCGGATGGGCGCAGTTCTTCCTGTATCAAACCTTGTATTGTGTTGATGTTGAAAAGCCCACTTGTGAAGAGGCTGTCAAGAGGGCCATGCCCATGTGGGTACAAGAGCTACTTCACCATCGATGGCTTGACAACATTGTTCTGCATGCGCAGCCGCAGGGGGCGGATCAGATGCAGAGAGATGTCGACATGTGCTTGCAGCGAACGAACACTCAAGCACTGCTGAACTGCTCTTTCGGTCGTGAATGGGATGAGCAACACTGCTGGTTTGCAGGGTTCATGATGGAACCCAGAGTAGCCTTGGAGTGTGATTCCATGTTACCGCTTGGTCCCGGGAGACCCCGACCCTCGGGTTGGATCGGGCTCAAGTCGCGGATCGCGAGGAAGATAGGCCTTCGGGTCGTTACGCTTCATGACTGCTTCTGGACCCACCTCACAGAAGACCAGAAGGACGAGCAGATGCTGCGTATTCGTGCTCAAGTGGGCTATACTCACAACAAAGAGCTGGAGCAGCGCCGGAAGAAGATCAGGCAGAGGGCACACACATACAAAGGCATCGAGGGCAAGCGCAAGGACTGGACGCCACAGCCGGCGCCTGCTTCGGACGAAACTGCCTTCACCTAGTGGGTCCAACAGCCTTCAGCAAGTGACCAGTTTCACAGCCGACTGATTCCACGACGGCCAAAATGTCCCTCAGAGTATGAGGTCTCTTGGTTCCTCGACAGTTTGGGCACAGCTGCATGTGAGTGAGAGCTGCAAAGCCACACAGTAGCACGCTGTGTTTTGCCCTGCTACAGGCGACGACTCACATGTGCACCGCTCTCAGAATTGCGGAAAGGGATGAGCCGAGCCTCATGCCGGTGCTGGTATTAATAATAACAACAATAGTAATAGTAAGAATAGTAGTAATAATATTAATAATAGTAATAATAGTAATAGTAGTAATAATAGTAGTAATAATAGGAATAATATAGTAATAATGATAAATATTGCGCTTCCGCAAGTTGCAGCCATGCCATGCGAAGCATCATCGCTTCTCTGCTTCTCTCTTTCTGCAGGCGAAAGTTGATCGTCCCGACACGGCCAGCCGACATCCGTTTTCTCAGGTTCCCGCCCCGCCAATCTCAGATGTGATTTTGTCGGCTTTGAGGATGGAAGATTGTCCAGTCCCGAAGTCCATTGACTGCTGGTAACTTTCGTGGAGGTTCCAGGCCCGATCGGTGTCTAGAAGCACGTGCAGCGCTCTCATGTGGGAGTTGTGAGATGTCTGGCTGCCAGCTGCATGTCCTGCAATTTGCATAGTCTTGGGTTCGCTTCCCGTTCACGCTCCTGGTAGTACAGAGGGCAGACAGACACCCGGCAGCCAACCTTGAGTCAGGTTCACCAACATCTCAAAAGTGAAGTCACAAGACTTCGAGCAGCAAGTTAAGCACGCAGAGCCATGCCGATTCTTTGCGACTGCACCTCTGGCGGCGTCTTGCTACAGCGGCTGAGGATCTTCAAGGCTGTGATAGTGTGTAGTTGCAGTGTAACCTAGAAGATGACCTCGTGCCAGCGGGAGCCCTGCTTTTGCCAGCTCTGCCGATGCTGTTTTTGTGCTCGAAGCCGGGGTAAAATTTCCAAAGACTGATTTGGAGCATTTTGGAGCACTGTCACAAAAGGCCACGGGTCCCAGGCGCCCTGAAACTCTTCAACTCAGCACCCTGGGTCGCTGCGCCATGGAACCTGCGGTCAACCCTACAGCCAAGGCCAGGACAGGACAGCTGGGATCCTTAGCCCATGTCTGTGGAGAACGGGGCTCAGGTCCAAAGCTTCAAGGAATGGCTGAAGACCAGCTTTTCTGTTGACCTTGAGGTGCCTCTTTTGGCTGCATGCACGTCTCGTTCTCTCTCTCTCTCTCCCCCTCTTTGGGCCTCTCTGTGTCTGTTTGCTCTTTTCAGGATCTGGGGGTTACGCTTCGCTGCGACCAGTTTGGTGGAATCGGGGTCTTCGTGCCCTGGCGGAGGGGAGATTGCCTTGCTGCAGCCTCCTTGTGGGAGCTGTAGCCGTGAGATTCCTGTCTCAGGCATGTCGAAGGCTGGGTCCCGGTGATCTTCTTGGGAGGACCCGTTGATGCTGGTTCATGTGCCATGCGACCTTGTATCGGTTCAGGATTCCACTGGAGGCCGCTTGAAAGCAGTGTGGCAGTATCCTCCATAATCCGTGTCGCAGATGCTTGCTCAGGCCATCCTTCATGCCGGCCAGGTGCGGAAGTCCTCCTTTGGCGCCAAGGCCACGTGTGGATGCACCTTGTTCAGCGTTAATTGAGAGTAAGCCGCAGGTGTTGGCGGTGATGCCCGACATTCCCGGCGAGGAGTGTCTCAGAAGAATCTAGCAGAATCTAGCAGTTTTGGATTCCGGACCAGCAGAGGACTCATTGGACTTGACTTGTTTGCACAAACCTCTCAGGCTGCTGTGGTTGTACATGATCTGGGGTCGCGAGGACTGTCGCGACCTTGCCGTTCCAGTTTCCACAGCCGACTTGAGATCTCCTTGCAGGAACCTGAATTGTGTGGATGGTATCCCTACCTGCAGATTCTCCCGCCCAGCGATCCGCTGCAGCTTTGCTGCAGAAGTGACTGTTGGGTCTTCTCCAGCCTTGCCTGCCGGCTGCTGTCAATGCCACTGAGGAGCTGGTACTCCGACGAGGAAGCCTTGCAATGGCTCGTGGGCACGCCAATGCTGCAGGAAGCACGGCAGGCCAAGCTACAGACTGAGAAATTTGAAGAGCTTCGGTCAGCCGTGTCAAGATGATGCAAGGCGGTGACGGAGCAAGCCGAGCGGCACCTGAGTGTGGTGGGCAGGCTTCAGAAAGCCGACCCAGCAGCTGGGCACTGTCTCATGCTGTCCTCAATCGCCGCAGTAAGCGAGGCATTGAGCCTGATTTCGGCAAGATGCAGAAGCTGCTGTAAGCAAGCTCCTGAGCTAAGGCTTTTTTCACCTCGCATCGGTTCAGCTTACAGGCATGGAGATGGGCAAGGTGGGCCGGCCATCGTTCAGTCTTCTCTGATGTCCTTGACGTGAAAACTTTCGCTTCAAAGTGCACATCGCAGGTCATGCTACGTTTCGAGGGCGTTTGACCGAGTTGCTTTCGCTATGTGCGTGCCCCAGACATCCTGAGACTGCAGTGGCGAAGCCCTTTGGAACTTGTTCTACCAGTATTTCAATATTTCTGACACTATCCATTGGCGGTAGTGACTTTTGTTTGTTTGCGTGACCATTTGACTGCTGTTAGTAGCCCCAGGTGTGGCTGCGGCGGAGTTTGTTTTTCTTAAGTGTGGCTTGGCTTGGCCTGGCCCTTCTCTTTTCTGCTAGGTGCAGCTCGTCTTTGGGCTTGGCTTGGCCTAACTTTGGCACCTGCTGGCTTGCTTCCTTGCTTGCCTGGGCTTTGGCTTGGTTTGGTGGTGGCATACATCGCAGAGACATAGACATAGACACACAGACATACACTATTAAGCAGTGTAGATGTAAGTATTTTGATATGTTTGTACATATAGCTATATACACATATGTCACATATGTATGTGTGTGTGTGTGTGTGTGCATGTACGTATCACACCGCAGCAAGTGCCAACAGCTTGGCCTTTGCTGCACTGCAGCGTGATTTGGTTTTCATGCAGTATAGACATACAAAGCACCGGAATGTTCTAATCATTCGCCTCATTTTTATTTGGCAACAAGTGTTCAACCCTAGCTCGCATTTGAGCTTCGGAGGGAATCAGCTACCCGATGGCTCGCTTAGTCTTTCGCCCTGACATGCGCCCATGACGGACGATGAGCTTTGGAAAGGTCGGGTGGCGAATGGGATTCTGACGGCCTTTGTCCCTTGTTGGACTCCCTGAACCACAGAAATGATGCGGAAGTGGAGGCCGAGCAGAGTTTGAGAGCAAGCATTGAAAGAAGTCGGGGTCTAGAGCTCTCGCTTTAGAGCTGTTGGGGCCGAGAGGCTCACTTCGACCAGAACGGGGCACGATGCTCGGCGGTGATTAGAAGTCACCAAGGAGACCGTTAGACCATCCATTTGGGTTCAGTCTCAAAGGGTTGGCAGGTATGGCATGGTTTCGCTTCGAGTAGCGGGTGTCTCCCTCGTGCCATCCCCTTCCCGCTTCCCTCACCATGTTACCGGCAAGGTTTCCCTTTGAGGCATCCAGCTCGTTTTGGAACGGCTTGGGTTTGAGAGGTTCTTCCGGTTCGGAAGAACTTGGAAAGGGATCCGGCCAGCGGCACGACGAGCTTGACTTGGGTCCTTTAGGGTTCGGGTTCCTGACTCACAGTGTCATGGTCGAACATAGACTCAGAGCCTCGAATCTCCGTGTGCACATGAACCCAGGGCTTCAACTGCCGACTGGAGCTGTTGGCTACCAGGTCGGGGACGAGGCACCCCACAAGTTTGTCTGGAGTGATGTTTCCGCCACTTCGACTGAAGGAGGTCGTGAACTAGCTTGAGCTGACCGGATGACTTTGCCAGGTGTACCATCTGTACCAGAGAAACCTTGCCAACAGCAGCCTCTTGTTGCACTACGGGTTTTCGTCCTTCAAGAACCCGAACGTGCCTCGACTGCCTGAGCTATGCCCTGCCTCGTCAAGACGGTGTGTAGTCGGCGGCTTAGGGTTTAGGGTTTAGTGGAGTGTGCACGAACTGAGGACTCAGTACGGGAACTGAAGTTTCACCTCCTTCCGGGGACGGTGTCGCAACGGCTTAGCGCTGCTTTTCCGCAGCACAGATGGGTCAGTCCGCACTGGGGGTCGTTAGAAGCCGATGCACACTGATGTGGTGATGGAGAGCTGTCATCAACTCCTGCGAACAGTTGGTAAAGAGCCACCGGGAGTGACGGTACAGTTCGATGAGGCTGATACTTACTATGATATTCCTGAGCGTGGCCGTGCTGCTGCTAGTGATGATAGCGACGAGTGATGATGCCAGAGTCTTTTGTGCTGAAGGATGCTGAAGGTGACGGTGGTGGTGCTGTCATGACGATGGTTCCGCTGCGGCTGATCGTGACAGCAATGACGGCCGTGCTTCTTTGTTCACGATGGTGCTGGTGCTGCTGATGATGATGGTGGTGGCGATAATGATATGTTGTGATGGTCAGGGCGACCACGACAGTGGTCAGGTTGGTGGTGGTCATCATCTTGACATCGTCAGCAAGTGTATGTAGACACATGTAGTGATCTGTGATGCTAGCTGCAAGAACGCCAAGAGTGATCATGCTGGTGTGGACCACAGCATCACCTCGAGACGGTCCGACATGGTCATTTGAGCGTCCGGGCTGGCCACGTCCTGTCCGACCTGGCTTGAATTTATGGTCGGACGTGGCCTAGCTGTCAGCATTTCCGACCCTACAGATACAAAGAGGGTCCATTAAGCTGGGTCCAGGGGGGCTGGGCCGAGGACCCAAGTAATTCATAGCTTAACGATAATTAATCACTGTACACTGTACAAGTCGTCGCCCAGGTGTTGACTGCCACAATGCCAGAGTTGGAAGCGTCAAGTGCTGGAGATGTCGTCAGCATCCACTTGACCCAGGCGCGGAACAGTTCAAAACTGCGCGGACAAACCCAGCGCGAAACCCTGACCTGTAAAGTAGCAGATGATGCTGCGGAACGCTTCGGAGCCGCTGTTGTGAAGCGCGAACTCTGCAGCACTGTCGTACTGACATCATGTGCGTTGCAGGGAGTCGCAGAAGATCATTCGAAGCATCGACCCGGTTTCTCTCAGAAGCGGACGGCCGATAAATCCCGGGAAGTACATGAATACAATGTGTTACAATGTAGGAACATATACAACACTGCAGACAATGCGACATGGCCTACTACTGTACGGTAGGTTGTGCGCTCATGAAGCGGGCTTTCGGCTTTCTGCTTTCTCGCTGGAGCGTCTTGCGCACGCGCCTGTTTGTGCGCAGGGCCTGACGCTGCAAACGGCGGAACTCCCGCTGCAGCTCCTCAGGGCGGCCTCGCTGCTACGATCTGGCCGCGACTTCGAGGACCTGGGTCGGAAGAAACGAAATTGAATGGGGAGGGACATGTGAATGTAGCCGCATGGTTTCGAATCTTATCCGTTGAAAACCATGAGGGTTGCTATCTGAGAGCTGACCCCAACCAAGTCCGTGGCGGGGAGTAGCACCTCAAAGCGACCACCTTGTGCAGAGACCACATGCGGTCCGACGGTGAATATAGAAATCCCGCCACTAGAAGTTCAACGGACTGTTCCTGTCGGCGTTCAGGGCGCAGAACTGGGCTACGGCCCGAGAAAACTGAGACACGAGCCAGAACCTCCGCAGCCAATCAGGAGCAGCATGCCAGCTGCATGGACAAAGCCCGCGTGTGCAATTGGCTAACCAGTGGGCTTTGCAAGATGCTGGACCGGATGGAGGCCTTTTCAAAGGGAGTGCCACGGCCTTGTCGATAATCTTTGTCAGAGTTTTTTCAATTACAGCTGCAACGTCATTGCATGTTTGCTTGTGCTTGTGTCGGCAATTCAGGCTTGTCCCGCGAGGCTTCCTGCGATGGTCCGGTTCTCAAACAAACCGTGATGAGGAGGCCGGGTCGCGCACGCTACGATGCAACGACGTGGCCAGGTTCTTTTACGTCGCGGGCGGCTTGGCCGGTTCGCATTCTCCGAAAGGGCGAGGCAGCTCCAGGCCGCGGCTCAACATAATGGAATATTACAACTATCTACAAATGTCTCCAAGAGGCGTGGTCATCGGTGTGTGCTGTTCGGGCTGGTCTCGAGGATGTATCTGCTAGTGTTCTGACCTGCCGAGTGCGGGCGTCGGAGAGGGTTGGAAAAGAACTATCTGGGACTCAGAATGTTGAATTCTGTCATTTGATCTCAGTAAGTTGCAGTATCATGTAGGATACAGCATCAGGTGTCATGAAACAAGGCAGTGTAACAGTATACAGTATACTGTATTGTCTTATTCTAGTTTATGTGGCAAGACTATCCGATATCATTTTCTTCGGTATCATATCAGCATAGCAAATCGTATCATGTTACATTTTTCTAGCTTTGATCAACTGTTCCATTCTATCATGTTCCATTCTTGTCTACTCTAACGGAGGTATGATATGACATGGTATGATATGGCGTTGTATACAATAAAATACAGTACCTTTACTGTGTAATTACATGAATTCGATCTCAATATTATATATATATATATAGATGTATATATATATATATATACACATAATTCCATGTCATGCTTTAATCTCCACATTATGTGTCACGTGTCATTCTGTACCACACATCACATATGGGTGGTTGTCAAAATTATCGTCCCTTTTTGGGAACCCTAAATATTAGGTGCCGTACTATATTAGGGACCCAAAGAGGGACCATAATTTTGACAGCCACCCATATAGTTTAATATGTCTGCACATATGTCTTCATTGTGTAGATGGCCTATGATCTATTGATCCTTGTCTTTGCCTTTAACCAAGCACCTGTTACCAGTTGTTCATATTGCATCTTGTATATGTGTTTGTCGAGAGGGGCCTTGCAGGAGTCAACTAGGTCCAGGGACTCGCTGCGGCAAAGCAAAGGGATCTAATGCGCCCAGGCTGTGTTCGAGGTGCTTTGCGAAAGATGCTGCTAGAGTTACTGGAATGCTTTCAGAGATGCCATGCAATCTCAACGACAGCAGGAGCAAGGGTTGTTTGGTACGCTAAGTTATCGCAAGCCCACAAAGATGCCGAGCGCAGGGAAGCCATGTGCTTAGATGCATTTTACATGTCCAGAACGCAAAGGTATCGTAGTCTTTACCAGCGGAGTCATGCCTTGCTATTGTCACACCAGCCCGGGCCACTGGGTCGGGGGTTTTCGCACGCCGCTGCTGCCTGATAATTAAAGTAAAAGAAGAAGAAGAAGAGAGCCGGGAGGGGGGCAGAGAGAGAAGCACGTGAGAGAGAGAAAAGTACGTGTGTAGATAGATGCACGCAGCGTTTCGCAGTTTACATGCATTGGATCTGTGGTGTTGTTCTTGCAGTGCTATGGCTACTACCACTACCGCTACTACGACTAATCTACTACGACTACTACTACTACTACTACTACTGCTACTACTACTACTACTACTACTACTACTACTACTGCTACTGCTACTGCTACTGCTACTACTACTACTACTACTACTACTACTACTACTACTACTACTACTCCTGCTGCTGCTGCTGCTGTTGTTGTTGCGACCGCTGCTGCTAAATCTGCTGCTTCTATTAGCTACTACTACTACTACTGCTACTACTGCTACTACTCCTACTGCTACGAAGACTATCCACCACCACCACCAGCCCCACCACCACCACCACCACCACCACCACCACCACCACCACCACCACCACCACCACCACCACCACCACCAGCACCAGCACTAGCACGAGCACCAGCTCTACCATTGCCACTGCTACTGCGACTACCACTACCACGACCACTACCAACCTACAGCGTACACCTACTACTTAGCACATAGTACCAAGTGCCTGGTATCTAGTACCTACTACTACCTGCTACTACCTACTACCTCTACTGCACTACCGCTACTACTACGTGCTACTACCAACTACCTACTACTACCTACTGCTACTTCTACTACTACTGCTACTGCTACTGCTACTACTACTACTACTACTACTACTACTACTACTACTACTACTACTACTACTTCCTCGCTGGAGTGTACACCTGTTACCCTGCTTCGTCAATTGAGCCATGCAGTTGGCAAAACAACAACAACAACTACTACTACTACTGCTACTACTACGACCACCCCTAGCCCCTGATCCAACGGATGTCGCGAAAGTAAACGGAGAGTTATTTGCAAAGAGCCTCAGGTTGAGATGTCTGCCCGTACTCGGAAAGCGAGTGTCTGCGAGTTTAGTTCATGGGAGAGGGGTTTGTGAAAGCTTCAGACAACGTAATCCAACCGAAAGCAGAATGCGTAACCTTTCATTCAATTATGTTCAAACGAAGTGTCCTGATTACGCCAACGAGGGAACGGAACGACAGCAGGCGGAGGACCTGGCCAGAGGCACATGCACACCCCTAGTGGGCTGAACTTGCGAGCGGGCGTAAGGTCAAAGACGAGTAGGGTTCGAGGGTGTTGGGGACACGTGTAGACAAGAAATGAGAAAGGGACCAAGGACGTCATGATGATTGGATCATGGATGGTCTAAACTCATCCAAACTCAGAGTGCATTAGGCCATGGACGTCATCAGGGTTGGGCCATGGATGCTTCCCTTCTCTCGCTCGCCTTAGACCATGGACATCATCATAGTTGGGCCGTGGATGTTGTAAATTCAGAACGGGTTAGACCATGGACGCCATCGTGGTTGGGCCATGGATGATATGAAAACTCGACATGGGTACAGAAATCCTGCGACAGAAACGTGTTTCGGCCTGCGCCTCTCGCGTATACTGCTGAAAACAAAATGTTGGATAAAAGACGAGTTTCAATGATGGTCCGACATGAAGGCTTTTTCGATTTGGGGCCTCGTTGTTGCAATTATGTTTACTCCGAATGCCAAAATGACACAAAGTTGCAAAAAAACATAGTGCACGTGCTGCAAAAACCAGAAGCCTTCGACTTCCGAACAACACACACCGGCACCACAAATCAACCACTCGTCCCAAGCGGTTGCTGTTTTGCGACTTTCATGATTTACAGCAGCTCGCACTCAATTGTGTCTTGAACAAGAAGCCATGGTCATAGGAAGAACTCGGAAGAAGTACTACTGTTACGACGACGACAACAACAACTACTACTACTCCTATTACGACTGCTGTTATTGTTAGCACTACTAGTAAGAATTATTCTAACACTACTGCTACCCTGCCACTGCCGCTACCGCTGGCCATGCTGCTGCTGCTGCTTCTGCTGCTACTACTACGACTACTGCTGCTGCCACTAGCTGCCACTAGTAGTAGTAGTAGTAGTAGTAGTAGCAGCAGCAGGAGTAGTCGCAGTAGTAGTAGTAGTAGTAGTAGCAGTAGTAGTAGTACGGCTAGTCTCGCTAGTGCTAATATGTCTCCCACTACTACTACGACGACGACTACTACTAGTATTAGTGCCAGCCACTACTCTTGCTGGTACTACTACCACCACCAGCACCACCACTACTACTACTGCTACTACTACTACTACTACTACTACTACTACTGCAACAACTACGACTGCTACTACTACTTGCACTTCGACTTTTGCTTCCACTTCCACTTCTACTTCTTCTACTACGACAGCGATGACGACTTTCTACTTCTCCACCACTACTACGACTAATTCTACGACTACGACCCCGGGACTTTTAGTGCCGGGTAAAACAAGCACTTGTTTCAGCAAGTGTCCGCGAGGGTCCATTAGGTTTTTGGTTTTGATGCTTCGTGCTTGTACAGCAGGATGTTCTTGTCTGATGTCTTTCTGCACTGATGTGTGACTTGGCCTTCTGAAACAGCGTCCACTTTTGTGGATGTTGAAAATGCAACCAGTCCAGGCAGGAAGACAATGTTGCGTTGATCTACAGGCATATACATTGATACACATGCACGCTGTGAGAAATAAGAACAGTGAGTAGATGTGCTGACAGAAGCCGGAAGGCAGCCAGACCGACTGCAAGAGTCGTCGTGCTTCCGCAGAGTGCGGCCTCGCAAGCCACCGCCACTTGACGAGAGGATTGCGGCAATAAGTCGATATACAAAAGCAAGCTGACGGCTATTTCGCAGTGGCTACAGTGTGAGTTTAGTGAGTGCACGATTTGCTGAGGCGTATTATGCCATTTCGGCATATTGCATCCTCAGAAAAGCCGCAGACGTTGAGCCTTGACAACCATATCACCTAGGACCTAGCTGACTGTTGCCAAGCTCGTCAGTGTGTCGACATGATTCCAAGGCCGAAGACTCTGCAGAGATGGCTTTACTGGCGGCAAAAATGGAGCGCCGTCAGCAGCGCGAGAAATCAGCAGCGAGTGGTGCAGAGAGCGCCTGAACTGCTTCCGCTTGGACCGAAGCTTTTTGCAAAGACTGCAAATTGCTTGACGGCTCGCATTTGCTGACGGCGCCCAGATCACAAAGAGTCGCGCATGTCTTCGGCATCAATGCATTGTTTCAGCAGTCAGTGTTCCAAAGATTTAATGCGTAAGAACAGTGCGGGTTCTTTGACTTCACCGATGCCGGGCTGCTTTCGCCTCGCACGACGGCTCAAGATTGGTTGCCCCGACTTGGATTCTCGAGGGCTCAGGAAGGAAAGGTCACGTTCTACCCATGGCCACGGCAGCTGTGCAGGTGCAGGCAGGCCAAGTAGGCACCCAGTCATTTCACTGGCATCAGGGTTCTAATTCACAAGCCCATACCAGACTACTTGAAGTGAAACGGTTCAATGCAAAAACGATTGCATGAGGCCGGCTCGTGTATTTCAGATGTATGAACATCACCCGGTCGGCATCCAAATCCGTTGCCATGATCCAAGAAACAAGGTTTTTCAACGTAAGCTTCAGTCTACTCGACTCTTGCAGGTGTTGTCCCACCGAAAGCACCGCAAGAAAGCATTTCTGCTTGTAAACCCGCATGGCGATGTGCGGCAACATGCAGTAAGGTTTCACAGAGTTCCAGTTAATTCTGCTATGTTCAGGCAGACGACCACCTGCAGTTAGCGCCTGACGAAGTCCGGAGCTACTTGGACGATGCTGGCTTCGCTTCTGTCTACCTGAAGGCTCGGTGTCAGGAAAAGTCGATTCCCTCGGTGTCAAACACACACATCCACATAGATCTGTCAGTGTCAGGGCACCGAGTATGGAATGCCCGTGATGTTTCTGCAGGCCCGACAGAGCTTGGTAAGAGGTTCTGCCTTCAGAAAATTTCGCTGGCAGCAGATCTCTCGCTGCGTCAGCCGATGAGGCAGCCGATGCTGAGATCACAGACCAAGCCTTGAACACGGCCTTGGCATCTATGGGTGCCGTGCTGCGAGACGCTGGTGTGAGTTCTTAGCAGTGTGTCGAGGGGCTAGTCACCGGCTAGTCAGCTTGCATCCATTTGCAGAGGTAGAAGTGCTGCTTTTTGGAAGTTCGGTTCCAGCCGAGGAAAAGGTGGATTTCGCACTTTGCTACGACCTGCGAGATTTGAGGACACTGTCCGAGTCTGTTCGAATAGAAATTAGAACCGTAGTCCGAGGGATTGGGTAAGGGGAGCGGTCTCTTGTGGCGGGACTGACGTCTTTGCAAACAACGGGAGTGTTTCGTGGTCAAAAAAATAGGGCCGTGCAACCAGCTCGATTCGCCACCATGCCCCATACTCTGCGTGTTCCAGGACGCCCTCTATGCACAACAGCTCTACGATCATAAAATGGATGAACGATGACGAGATGAGCCCACTCCTGTCTCAGCATGCCTTGGTCACCTGCGTGATGGTCCAAAACTCCTTTGCAGGTATGGCCGTGAGTGGCTGCACTTATGTGATCCAGAAGCTGTGCTCTGCCGCCAAGCCCATGGCCGTTGTGTACACGGAGGAAGAGCGCGACAACTTCCTACGTGAAGCAATCAAGCAGGTCAAAGCAAGACGAGCTCAGGATGCGACCGGCGAGATCAAGGAGTAAGTAAATGCAGCTTTCTGCAGAGCAGAAGCCGCTGATGAACCAGATTGTGGCTGGACAGTGGACAGCCGTGTTTCGAGGCCGTCCCTCTTGGATTAGATCCCAGACTAGGCATCTCTGCGCGCGTGTTATCTTCCACTGTTCGAAACCGGCAGTGGGATGTCTTTGAAGCACATCCCAGACTGCTGTTTTGGTCTTTTGCTCGCGTTCCACGCATGCGTGGATGTGCAGGATGTGTCCAAAGACTCTCTGAGGCCAGGCATGTCCTCCAAGCAAGCGGTGCCTTTTGTGCTTTGTTCGATAACGTTGGCACGGGGAAGAAAAGGACGGCCTCTCCGAAACATGCAGACGGAGCGACATATGTGTATGTATGCATGTACGTATGTATGCGTATCTATGTAAATAAATAAGCAAATATGTGTATATATATATATATATATATTTGTATATATATATATAGATGTATACACACACACACTGCTCCTCTGTGGCTGTGTGGAAGATGATATATGTATATACACATAGCATGTAACTATGTGTATGAATATCTAGATGTGTATATGTGCATTATGAAAGATTGCTTGACAGAGTGTGTCTATGTGCACGCGTTTATGCGATTGATGTTCGCAGGTCCTGGCAGATGAGAGAAGTAGCAGAAGCCTTTTCGGGACTCGCTGGCTTACACCAAGAGCCCAGCTGCAAAAAGCAGCAGCCTTCCTGCATCTTGGTCAGATACCAAGTCCGCTTAGTCTCGACTGCAGTTACTGTCATATAGAATCCCAAATAATGACATGGAAATACCATACAGTATACCCCAAAACTTATTCTGCTTAGTAGAGCTCCCTATCAGCCTGAGCTCACAGTCGAAGCTTGAAGCTCTGCGCTCAGAGTCTGCAACCGCTCGGACTCAGCTCCTGTTCTCTTCATCCAAGCTCTCCGACCTTTCTGAAAGATCTGATTGCAAAAGAAGGGGTCGGCCTTGCAGTGCAGGGGCTGCCAGGATTTGTTTGATCATTTGCCAGCTCTTTATCATACATGATGTTTTCATGTTCGCGCACATATAACATAATACGTATATATGTATATATATATATATATATATATGTATGTATGTATATTTTTTATATGCATATACAGTATAGTACAGTATATACATTCTCGTCCGTGTCGTGTCTGTGTGCGCGTGTGTTTGTGTCGTCTTTTAATGAATGGATCGTCTTTTGTTAACATTCCAAAAAAATCCGGCCAATGACAAGAACAAGAATGTTCGGACACAGGGCCCTGTAAACGCAATACAAATGATGAAGTCGAGTGCATTTTCCATTCAGGCGTTGTATGTCTTGAAAACCCCGGCGGCCTAGTCACTCGACAACAACAATAACAGTAACGCATTGCATGATGATGCTGCTGCAGTTTTAGGAAAATCAAGAAGCGTCATACTAGGACATCGTGAAGTTATGTCTAGATGTTGGTGTAAGAAGCAGATGCGTAAACATGCTGTATTCTAGATGTAAGTAGGCGTATGATCGTGTGCCAATATGATGGTACAACAGCAAAGGCAGGCATAGTGTAACTGTACGACATGTGCAGCGACAATTGCATAATAACAGTCGTCGGCCAGGAATAAGCGGAGAGTTGATAATTTTGACATAACAGTAGAGCTCTAACACCAGCAATCCAAGAGCACATGACAGAAGCAAGAGTCCTGTTATAAGTAGAAGGAACACTGAAGAGGACATGGAAGCAACAGCAAATGCAAACAGCGGCACCGCAACAACTTAGGATGGGGTCCCAAACAGAGAGATCTGAGTAGTCGTGTAACTCATAGTGACTCCTGTGCTTCTTCTGCTTAGTGTATGGGTTCTGAGACTGTAACGATGTGGTTTTGTAATCTTCGAGCCCAAGCCGTGTGTCAGCCTGCGCAGGCAGCTGGACCTTAGCCAGCTTCAGGTGGACCTTTGGCCACACCGCGATCCAACAGCACATGTGCCGCTTGGCTTCTGGCCATTTTCAATAGATTAAGGGTCTTGGGTTTCTTGGGGTTCTGATTTAGCGTTCAGAATTCTTTGGCTCATTCGGTCTTCTGTGCTGGGAGGCATGTGAGGGTGCAGACCAGCGCGATTCAGCCACAGCCCCAGCTTTTTCCTCACAGGCATTGGGCGATTGGCTGAACCTTTCAAGCAGATGTCGGGCAAAATCGGGTAGCAGTGCATGTCCTGTGCTGGTCGGCCGCGGCAGTTCCAGAGGTAGTCTGAATCACATGGAGGCCACATGGGCCGAAACCCACCAGACACGTGACGGCTTTTGGACCACGTTGCCCGAACGAAGCACGCAGAGAGAGTCCGGAGTGAGGACAAGTGGAGAACTCGCTCCAGACTCCAAGCAGCACCGGACATACCGGACAAAGACATAGCAGATAGCTGCCTGTTGTCAGAATGTAGAGCCAGTCAATTCATTGACGGGCCCGATGTTGCCGTGCGGCCTTGTCTGAGCATGGGACAGAAACATGGCTGCAACGGGACGAGGGCTTCCGGGTAGAGTGGCACAACACAACATCTTGTACAGTAGCATCGCAAAGCATAGCAGCAGTGACATGCTCAGCAATCCTTTGCGGCATGATACACCAAGAACGAAGTCTCGCACAGCGCGGAGTGTCACAGGCTTTCCATACACGAACCTCGCTAACTCGTTCCTTCGCCCCGTAAACCGGATCTGAAAATGCATCTCTCCTGCTGCAGCCTCCAACAAAAGGGCGACATCGGGGCTAAGTTGGGCGGACCAGCAGGGCCACAACAGATTTGTTTTTCCCCACTGAGCGTCACTGCGGCTGCCCGAGTTTATCAAAGCAACTCGGTTCAGGATCGAAAAGGCACTCTAGCACCGCAGAGCCAGTTCGGAAATGTATTAATCAAAACAATCAGAAACACATCTAAAAGCCACTAAAGACCCGGTTGAACGAATCGAACCGGCCCCACTCGCACAGCCTATCAACAGAGTTTGTGTTGGGTTCCAAAACTGAAAAGTGAGAAAGATTCGAAAAGTCAGGCAACAACCTCTGTACCACCTTTACACCAGTTCAAAATCCATCAAAGCCCCTTATTAGAGTGAGCTAAAGAGGCTGCAGGAATCCATAGAGCCGACGTTACACTCCATCGAAACTCTGCGGAACCAGCTCTAACAAACTATCTTGGACTGCTTTTCATAAACAGCAATTGTTAATTAAGAGAAGGCTATCTCAAGCTGTAGAACCAGCCTTACACTCGCTAGAAAAGAGCAGCTCAGAAGTCCATGAAGCCCTGTTGTTTGACTTGGTAGTTTCCGAAAATAGGGCTAATATAGTACCCTAATTGGTAGGATCCTTATTGTGAGCACCCCAGTACCCTAACTCCCACGTCTTGTCGGGCGCAGAAAGGGGGTCACTGGGGTTTTTGACTTCCTCCAACTTTCTGGGGTATCAATCCAGGCCTAACAGCATTAGAGCATTTTCAGTGATTGCCACTTGCTCCTGGGACTGGTTGTCACCTTTCTACCGGTGGCTGTTGCTTGCAGTTACAATTCCTGGGCGTTCACGCAGCCCTGTTGCTATGGATTTATTGCCACAGGGTGACAAGTGTATCGTAGTCATCGTCGTGATGTTTCTCTCTTTTGCTCCTGGGGGCGTGACGGCTTGGCCCCCTTGACAAGGACTGCCGGCTCTTTGCCACTGAAGCGCTTCGTGAATCACCCACGGGAAGTTGTGGCCGATGCTCTGGAAGGTTACCTGAGCGGGCTTTTCCGGCTTAAAGGGGCCACCTCTGAACCACGTTTTTTCATTTGCTGTGAGCAGGCTTCTCGCTCACATGCGCTCTTGCCAACTTCCACTATCAGCTATTGTCGATATGACCAGCGACAGTTCCGGTATTGCTGCCACGGAAGCTGCTTGTGCTCCTACTGCAGGTCTTCTTGCTACTATTCAATTCTTCTTGCTGCTTACTACGGCTGATACTGCTCCCGCTGCATTGCTACTACTGCTTCCATCTTCTGCTGATTCTAGTGTCAGCGACGAAGCACCCTAGCCTTGCCTTGCTACTGCTGCTGCTGCTGCTGCTGCTGCTGCAGCTGCTTCTGCCTTGTTTCTACCACCACTGCGACGACTATGCCAGCGAACTGCGACGACGACGACGACTTAATTTCATTGCTGATGTCCATCTTCGGCAGCAATTGAAAGGCTACCTCTGGACACATCCAAATGTGCAGCTCCTGGAGGGGTACCCGGAGGCTGTGAGGGAAGGGCTGGCGGCTAGGCTGAAGGCAGCCAATGCGTGCATGTCTGGAAGGTCAAAGTCCTCATCTCCTCTTCCTGGTCTCGCGACTGTGGCCGAGTGGCAGTGCTGTCTGGGGGTGGCTCCGGTCATGAGCCGGCCGATGCTGGAATGAGCCTTTGCATGCCAAACTCATGCCGAGCCCCCGATTTCAGAGATTGGAGTGCAGGCTTGTGGGCGACTAAGTCAAGATTAGTGACCGGCTAATAGCCCCACATGAGGATTGGCGATGGCATGCTGACTGCCGTCGTTTGTGGCGAAGTTTTTGCTTCGCCCTCTGCCTATGCAGTGGCTCGCGCTCTAGAAGCGCCTTGGATGCAAAACTCGCCTCTGTAGCAGCCAGGCATATGCCTGGCAGACGCAGCTGGACGGTGGGCGGGAGGGAGTTTTTGAATCGCTCAAAGTCTGCTGCTTTGCTTTCATGCTGGAGGCCATCACCGGCAGTGCCGGAGCGATTGTCGTTGTCAGATCGAACGCAGGCACAGCCCGTGACCGTAGTTGACAGTGCCATGCGCGCCAGTTCTGCAAAACCGCACTGCAGGCACCCGGCTGAACTTCATGTCTGCTGTGAAGGAAGTCCAGCAGCTTGGAGAGCACTGGCTGCCTCGACCATGAAGCGATGAGCCAGAGACCACGCATCAACGACATGTCGGACTTGAACAAGTACATACACCTGTGCGAACGACAGGAGTAGGCCAGTTGCTATCGTATATCAGCCGTTGCAGTCATGATGAAACAACCAACGGCATCGCAGACCATCTGTTGTAATTTACATAAAGACAATATTACATTGTGCTCGCAAAGAGGATTTCCCAACTGCGCATCAGCCGATCAGCTGATCGGCTGATGGGGTGATCGGGTGGTCCGTTTAGGGTTCAGGGGTTTACTGTAGGGTTTAGGGGTTTAGAGAAAAGGGCTTAGGGTTTACGGTTGATTGGCTGATCGGCTAATGCACGGTTCTGTGCCCAGAAGCCACGGTAACTAGACAAACAACGCACATGTCGCTCAACATGCAAACTGAGGAGTCGCTTACACTTGCGGGTCAAGGTGGTCTGCGTGTCTGATGACGTGGCCACGAGCAAGAGGCCGCAAAAATGTTGTGTTTGCCTTTGTGGATGTTTACTAAGTTACGACCGTTGCCGGCTTTGGGGCTGTGTGCTTCTCGGTTTTGCCCACATGAATCTCCAAGTTTATGCCTAAAGTTTATGCGGGAGCCAAAATCTCCAAGTTGACAGCGGCGAGGTTTTGGAAGGTTTCAGATTTCGACTCTGGCTCTATGAGACTCCAGGAACTCTTGTAAGGGGCTCGAGTGAGACTCCAGGAACTCTTGTAAGGGGCTCGAGCGGTTGCCAGGTATGGCTCCCGCGCTGATTTCACGCAGGCGAGAGGCATTGCAGGTCCAGGCCTCAGTACAAGCCGCAGCCAAGCAGACAGAAATGCGGGCTGTGGGGTCAACGAAACACGAAGCCCCCTTGCTTCAGAGGTTCCCTCCTGATCTGCAAGATTGCTGGTGCGGCAGCAGCAGCAGAACTCTCGCTAGATGAGGCCAGGGCTTCTGCTCATTTGACGATTCATGGGTGGCATCTTTACGGCGCATGCTTGCAGATCCGTGCCAGATCCATTTCCGCCAAGCAAGCCACTGCAGGTCTACGAGGAGACGGCAGCAGCTGCAGCAGCGGTCCGGACTCAAGGAGCCGCTTGTGCAAAGTTGGCCTTCGACTCTGTCACTTGTGCTACTTTGCCCTGCCGTCATACTCGTTACCAACAAGGTCAGTTTCCACTCCTGCAGCATTCCCGGGATGCTTCCTGCCGGGGGCCCGAAGGATCGAAAGGGAGATACCTCGACGCTTCGTGAAGAGCAAGTGTACACTTCTGGAAACAAAAAACACACATACACACTCGCACACATATGTAATTATATATGTATATATATATATATGTATGTATATGTGCACGTAGAAGCGTCTTTGTCGTTAGTTGCTAAGGCCAGACCTATCCCGGCAGACGAGATGGAGGTGGGTCTGGGGATCCATGGTGAGCCTGGCCTTCGAGTCAAAGCGACCTCCAGCACAACTGCGAAGGCCCGAACCGGGTTTGGGGCTTGGGGACGGGCTATACTTGGAGGTTCATGGGTAGTTTTAAGTGGGGTTAAAAGTAGATGAACTATACTTAAACTCCTATTGGGGACTTATAATCCTACTAATCCTACTTACAACTACCCATGAACCTCAAAGTAGTATGTGTTAAGCCATACATCAAGCAGCAGTCGTCTTGTAACAAGCATTCAGGCCTTTAAGCTTTGTCGCCTGAATGAGTCCTGGCTCTTTCATACATGAAGCAGCAGTCGTCTTGTAACAAGCATTCAAGCCTTTAAGCCTTGTCGCATGAATTAGTCCTGGCTCTTTGTGTGTGGGTGCTTGTGTGCACGACAAAACTATTAGTTGTACGTGATGCCTCATATAGTGTACTTCATGTGTTGTAAGAAATATATCTTACATGTTGCATGTTCTATGTAGTATGTGTTAGATGTGCGCGCCATTAGTATATGGTCTGCGTTATGTGCTTGTATGTTACATCTGATACAGTGACATATATATATATATATACATGCATGCACACATACATATATCGATGCTGCGCCCACTGGATATTTTATGTCGTAGAAAGTTTTTTGTTTGTGCAGTCTATGTTGCAGTTCATATATGGTCTGTCATCTCTGAAACCGTGCATCTGGTATTATACCCTCACTTGGACCTTATGTTGTACCTTGTGCGGTATCTTGTATTAGGTCTTATTATGCTGACGCGTATATTGTAATTTGGGGTACAGTGGGTACAGCCTAACCAGAGTTACATATTCCTGTGCAACTTGTATTGCATATTGCAGACTCTACTGTATTATCCATTGTATTTCAATGCGGGATGCGGAATTCATGGGGCACAGGGCCGTTCCAGTTGAAGGCCCCTGTTCTGAATCCGACAGCGGAGTACTACTGGCAAGGAGATTGTGGAGACCATTATGTCGCAGCTGGCCATCCATGTTCCTCGCAAAGTCCCACTGTGCGTCATGCTGAACAATCTGGGCGCCTAAGCTCGCACTCTACCAACTGCATGGCCACGATGGGGCTTCGGTCTGTGATAAGGATCGGTGCCTGAGATCGAGATGCAGCTAGTTGCTGGTCAAGTAATGAATTCGGAGCTCGGTCCCCGGATCAAGCTTCTGAGCCTCGGACATGTTGAAGCCTTCTGATTCTGTTGCCTGTATACCACATACAAGGGCGGCTAAGGGCGGCTTCGTCATCTTTCAGGCGCCGCCCTACTCTTTCTAGCCCTAGCATTTCCCGTCTTTTGCTCCTCGCTTTTGCACCGGTTCATCTCATTCAACCGTCATCTGTCTTGCTCCGTGTGTCGTGCGATTTTCTGGAACAGATGTTCCGAGGATCGGGCCAGCACATCTCATGACTGCCTTGGACACGAACGGGATCTCCATCAGACACCTGCTTGCAGCACTGTCGCCCGAAAGTGGAGGGATGACGCAACCTCCAGTCCCGGCCTAGAGATGTCTTAGGATTTGTAACATGGCCTTGGTGCGCCATTACGATAGCTCTGACGGCTGCACTCAAACCTAAGCGCCTCACATGTAGCTAAGGCGTCTTGCCACTAGAGGATCGCGACACCAGCACTTGCGGGACAAGTGTGGCTTTAGACAGAAAACGAGATGACGACGCCGACGCTGGCCAGCCCACCGATGGCCGCTGAGATGCAGTTGTGTGATGTTCGGTTCACCGCAGTATCCTGACATAGATTGGCACTCGGATGGCGATGCACACCCTGAACAGGGCGACGCCGCTCCAAAAGTGTCCATTTTCGGGATGAGACCCCGGCCACTCGGCATCGTTCCCATCTTTCGTCGTATTCTTTAGCTGAGTGCTTTGTTGTCTGAGTGCTGAGGACATGAAGGCGAAGGAGGCTTTTGTACAGGTCTTCTCGCCCGAGCAGTTTGACGGTCCAGACGTCCAAAGTGAATGCACCAGCCATGCTGGCCAGACCCCGGCGAAGCCAAACGAAGCATTCTTCCCGCAGATTCTCGAAGAGGAGGCAGACGAGGCGAACGAGTGCTCAGACGACATCGAGGAGGCCATGCTCGTCCATGCACAGCATTCAAAGCGTGTCTGCCTTACGTGAAGGCTGACAGCTGCTGCGAGAACCCCGAGCTCTCTCTTCGTGCCATGCGGCTGCTCGCGCCGGTTTCGTGCACGGGCTGGAAGGCAGCAAGACCGATCGAGTCAGGGGCAAAATAAGAGGAAGCTGCTACGAACCGCCAGGCTTGCGATGTCTTGGCGATTAGGGGCATTGCGCAGCTGATATCCTGACACAGTCTGTGTCAGGCCATGTAGTCGGGACTGGACTCGGCTCAATTTCGGAATACTTTCAGAATCACACTATCACTAGCAAGGACACACGCGCACCCACGCAAACGAATGCACTGGGCCTTGGGGCTCGAGGCGCCTGAACAAGTAATTTGATTATGAAGCAAGCATTGCAGTAGACCGGATACGGTAGGATCATATATAACATCATAACATCAACGCAGGCATGACCTGGTTCTGCAGGATAACAAGGGTTCAAAGTGGGAAACTCATGCACGTCACAGTGGCATGAACTGTTTGTAGCTGGGTGTATTACCTGCAGCTTGGAGCATCCTGCATGGCACCTTTTTCCCCGTACCGCAGTGACTGTAGTGATGGTATTTCGTAGAGGGCATGAAGTGTGTAAGGACTCCAAGTTCAAAAGTGGGAGACCGCAAGCTTCGCGAGAGGCGCATAACTGCCTTCTACGCAACCCACAAAAGAGAGGCTTGTGACTTGTGCGAAAATCTCCAAACTTTCTGTGATCGGATTAACGACTGCAGTCAATGGATTGCTGGTGACGTTTCGAGCGGTTTGCAAATCTGTCCCAAATTCGCAAGCAACCAGCCCTTTCCGATCCGTTCGCTGCCTCCCTTCCAAAAAGAAAGCTCGAGGACTCTAGTCACTACTACTTGGAGGTCCATGGGTAGCTATAAGTGGGGTTATCATTAGGGTAATTATAATGATAACTCCCACTATGGGGCTTCTAGCCCCACTTATAACTACCCATGAGCATCCGACATTTGCTTGGCTTCTCTTTCGAACAGTTTGCCCTGTTTCTGCGGCTTTTGCTTTTGAGCGACTTGCTCTTCTTTCTCAAGTGATTTAGGCTTCAGTCTCTTTTGAGCTGCTTGTTCTCTTCTTCTAATTCCCTGGTCCCTTTCAAAGGGCTTTTGTCATTTTCCTCAATTCTGACGACTTTCTTTCCACTAGCTCTGGGTGTTTGCGCTTCTTTCTCAAACGCGTTCGCCTTTTTCGAGCGGCTTGATCCTATTCCTCCATTTCAGTCGATCGATTGGCTCCTCTTGCTTTCGTTCCCTAGTCTCTAGTCCATTTCGAGCAGCTTGCCTTCTTTCCCTAAATTACGGAAAAGCCTTTGGTTGGCTCTTTCCTTTTTCTGAAGTGTTCTACTTCTCAAATCAGCATGTTCGCATTACGCTGCCCACAGAAGAAAAGGAAAAAAAGTATATGCGTACGTATGCAGGCTTATGTTGTTTGTCCATAAAGATGTCGTGTTCGCTGTCAGGCTGCCGTCATCCCTCGCAATCCACAGATCGTCAAGCAACTTAGCTTAACAAGGTCCACGACGCGGGCTTTCTCAGGATTTCGGGATTCTGCAAGAATCCATAGGAGGCGGGCGGCTCATCATGTCTCGAAGCTCAAACCCCTCACCTCCGACACCCATGTGGGAAGCTTAAGCACATCAGCACATCTCGACGAGACGAGATGTGGCTCTATCCTTACTGCTTTGAGTGCCGTTAATTACGTCTCATAGTTGAGAGTAGTTTGTACCCCTCATCCGGAACTCATGATTCAAGTACTATTCACGGCAAATGTCCAGTCAGACACTTCGATGTTCTTTGGGTGACCATGCAATGCGCGAATGCGCGTGCACACAGCCGGCCTCTGCGATCTGCCCGGGATAGTACAGCCGTGTCCTCACCACATCGCCCCTCATTGCCCCAATGCTCACCAAATCCAACTTGCATAGTGACACTCATCTGGCGGAACTTCTGGCCCGCCCTGCACAGTGCTTGTGCTCGTATGTTTTCTTAGCTGACGGGGCCGTGGTCGGACGTTACCCGGTGAGCACTCTCCTCAATGACCTTACTTCGGCTGCTGCTCGTGCCCCGCAGACATGGATACAGATTGCGTGGCACGGCTCGTTGGGGGTTCCAAGGCGGTTAGTTTGGAACGGGGCCTTTTGGTTTGTTTCCGTCACAGTATGTGTACTGTGCTTTCAACATTGATCTTAGCTATATTCTGAGCAGGCGACATGATCCACGGCCGCTGCTCGCAATACGTGGGCGATCAGCTTCAAGCCGTTTCGCAGACTCTGAGCATCCTCTCGCTCCTTGCAAGAAGTTTGTTGTCGCATGAGCCATGGCTTGCTGGGATTGATCTGGCCCGGCAGTGCCCGATGCGCTTCAGGTTCGCTCGATGCTGACCCGTGCTTGTCAGGACCTCCCCTCAGTCTCTCCGCAGCTTTGCTCTTGAAGTCTTGAACTTTCATTTCCCCCAGGCCGACGCTGCCCTAAAACCACAAAGCCTTATAAGGCTATTCTGGACAGCGAGCGCGAGCTCAACGCCCTTGATGCGGCTGCTGCAGATGGCGACCTGGGGCGGAACATGGCTCGAGCAGCACAGAATCTTGCTCTGATAAAAGAACCTCCCTGTACCTGTAGATGCGGTATAACTTGTCGAGCACGAGTGATAAAAAGATGCGGTATAACGGCCGCTGTGTGTAGGCGTCTACGAATGGTTGGAGGATTTGGGGTTGGTAGGTTTCTGAATAGCTGACAAACCCGGTTGCTTTGCCCATGTCATGTAGCGACCGGAATGCACAGCCAATGGCTCACCTGCTCTGCCAGGCTGGTCCTGGGTGCTCTAGCTGATGGCCACCTGCCGCTGGCCTTTTGGCAGCACGCGACGAACTGAGGGTCCCGTCCAGTGCCCTCCCTTGCACAAGTTGCAGGCCCGTCCAGCCTTGCTGTTCCTGCGCCTGGCGGATATCATGCGTGGTGTGGATGGAACACTTTCCGCTGCTTGACTTTGACTTTGTCTCGGCGGCCGCTTTTTGAGACGTAGAGGGTTAGGGCCCCAGGGCAGTATTGCGAGGCCCTAATGTCGGTCTTCTTCGGCCGAGCTGGCCGCTTCCTGGCGCACCGGCGAGCGAAGTGGCAAAAGAAGGCCAAGGCCAAGGGAAGGCCTGGGGCCCTTGACCTCTTCTCTGAGGTACCATGGAAGTAAGAAAACGAACCTCCGGTTAGCCACTGCACAGGAGCAGAAAGCGGTGCTTCAGCCACATGGGCTGGAACAGCGTCGATGTTTACGATGCTTTCCGTGCCGCTGAGAAGGAGGCGCGGGCCTCTTCTAGTGTGACAAGGGAGCACAGGCTGGAAGCTGTGCAGCTGAGGTGGAAGAAGTTGGCGAATGTGCCGAAGGGAAGCGTGCCTGCGCTTGAAAGACTACGAATCATGCATCAGACTGACAGAATGCAACCATGAGTGCAGAAATCAGCGTCAAACTCTGTTCATGTTCCTTGCACGCTGGCTGCATGTTCCGGCGAGGCACGTTTCTAGATGCGCTGCTTCCGGCGCTGCAAGCGGCCGGAAACACCATCAAACGACCAGCTGAGGGCTGCGAAGGCAACTCGGGCTTGCGATGTCATATCGCACCTGTCCTTTAGGGACATCATCAGACCGGCATGTTACATTGCTAAAGTTTAAAGCATGGTGGATTCTGCGTGGCCTGCACAGCCTCGACGAGTGGCACCGCGATCACATACATACCAAGATCATCCAGGGACCCTAATATAGCATCCTAAATAGTAGGATCCTTATTGTAAGGACCCCAAAATAAGGTATCCCTAATTCTCGGAGACTCCCCAGCTGCAAACGAAAATCAACGACCCAACACTCCAGGCGAGCTCCTGCTGCCACTGGAGGATGACGAGGACGACAGCGACTGGAGCCACTCCTTGGCTTCATGGAGCCTCGTGCTTGCGCTTCGAGCTTCGGACCGTGCAATGCCTCCCCATCGCAATTCTTACCCATAGACATGTCCCCGTGGGAGTGTCAGAAGCCCCTGCAGCCTCGGCAGCCTTGGAGTTCACTCCCCGCGGGGCCGAAATTCCCCCGGTTCAGGTCGGCAAACCAGCAATGGCAACGACGTGGAGCCTTGGCTGAGCCTGAAAAGTGACCATCGAGATGAGTTGAGTGGTGAGTGAAATACGAAGACACCGAAGTCAAGGAGGAGGAGGAGACAGAGGCTCCGGGTGACGAGGCCTTCGACCTGGATGGATCCGAGATGAGCACAGTTTGCATCCCTGAGTTGGGAACCGGGAGCAAGAACAAGCATCATCAAGTCGGAAGCATCAGAAAATCTCGCAGGCAGATATTCCTGTGCCCTGGGAAGCGATTGCCGTGGCCGCCCAAGAGGGCGCACGAGCCACGGCCAGCATGTCGCTCAGCTGGATGCGGTGCTCTACACATCTGTGCATGTTAGGGAAACTTCCGGGAAGTTCATGTCTTCAAAAAGCTAGTGCAAAAATGGCGATCTTCCGTGTACTAAGGAAGAGCTCGCCTTGCTATGGAGGCTTCATCAATGACTGTGGAGGGCTCGGGAGATGTTCTCCAGCAGTTTCTTCCCAAGCTTCCAGACGAAGTGAGGCAGCGAAAGCATCTGCGACGGCGGGGCCATGGTCGTGGCAATCCTCCTCACAGCCATGGCAGGGCCAGCTCAAGGTCTGCTGCAGGCCTTCCTTGAGCGCTGCGGATAGCTTTACGGTCTGGGGTAGTTTAGGAGTTTAGGATGGCCAGACGTCTTCGGCTCACCATTTGATGATTATCAATGCTTCTGTCCCTGTCCTCCTCCTTCGCGTTTTCGTTGTGATGGTGTAGATATCACATACTGTCATGCTGCGGCCATCTGCTCCTATGATTTCTCCAATTGTAAGCACTTGGCATCGTCCGCCTCGGCCGTGACTCAAGGGTCGGGGTCGTCGAGCGGGGAAGGGAGCGGCTGGGGGTAGTGCAGAGTTTATCGCCATTTCTGGGAGTCGGGCATGACCCGGTGGCGTGGCAAAGGTGGTGGAGGACGAGCGGGTCAAGGACACCGTGCAGATTGGAGAGCCTCGGTGCATCTTTTGCTGTCCTCATCCTTTAGAGATTGAACACAGGGCGCCTCGGTAGGGAGCCTTATACCTAGCTGTACCGCACTACGATGCAGTCTGCTCTGCTGCTGAGTTCTTGTACCAGAAAGGAACGAACGAATGAGTGAATGAATGTGAGTATGTGTGTACTTTCGGGAGACGGGTTCCCGTGCCATTTTCTCTTGCTTCCCCTGACCTTCTGCTCCGCTCAGTCGGAGTCTGAGGAGACCATTGGCCATGGATCCTTCGGTCGCGCGCTCAGAGTAAAGCTCTCGTTTTTTCTGCGTCGCTCGGAGCGCTCTCGCCAGGAACGGTCTACGTGGCGAAGCTGGCATCCGGGGGTTCGCAAGTCGCGGTCAAGATAAGCAAGCGGTCCAAGGCCGGCGCACACCCTGCAAGGATGACACGAACAAATCGAGAAGTGCACGAAGTGCGCAAAAAGATGCCAAACATTCCCAACGTTCCCAAAACCTGGTGGCACATGTTTGTTCCGGTGCGCATTGCTCGCTGAAACTTGGATTATAGCTTGCGATGCATGAAAATTCATTCTTCATGTGCTGAGCTTGGGACATGAACCGCGGAGGCGGACAAAACGCGTAATTGCGACAGCTGTGGAGGAAAGTGGCCCGAGGAGCTTTGGCGATCTGGATTTCTTGGACCGGTGCCGGGCTGATTGATGGTTTCACAATGTTTCACCGTGTCGATGTATGTGGTACTCTTAGAGTCTGTTCTTTGCATTGCATAGTTTGCCTTCAGTGGCGGCATGTCTAGGGCGGGGCAGCATAGCTGAGCCCATCTTGTCTGTGGCCCAAGGCGCATCGTGAGCAACTGGCTCTTCATGAACAAGCCGAACATCACGCATGTTCATCAGGTCCTCACCTGGGTCTGTTTGTTTGTTTCAGTTTTTTTTTTGAGGGGGGAGGGGGGGGGGTGTTGTTTTTTGTTTGGCCTGCCGCCTGCCGGAGAGGTGCTCGTGAGCCCAACCTTCTTGTATGTCATCATGGAGTATTTGGACGGGCCGGATCTCTCCGATTGGATGCTCGCTGACGAGGCTGCAATGCCTGGAAACGGTTAGACAGCTTAAGCACCGTGGAAGCTGGGAGCGTGCAATCTCTCAAACTTCTCACAGCACCTGCCCGTGCAGGGGCAACGCCGAAACGAGCTGGTCGTCATGCTGCCGCTTGCCGGTAAGATCTTGTCTCGGCATTGGGTTTGGGAAATCTTTGTTTAAGAAGGGTAAGTGGAGAGGCACACAACCTCTCGCCTTTTTGCTTTCTCACAGAAGCCCCAGTTGCCCTAGTTGGCCGCCCGGGAGTCCCCAAGAACAAAAAAGACACAGCACACAGACACACATCCACAGCAAGTTCATTCCTCAGACGGTCACCAGGCTGCTTCAGCAAATCTTGCTGGCGGCACGTGAAGTGCACCGACATGGCTTCGTCCACAGAGACCTGAAGCTGGACAATTTCCGCTTCGCCAGAGGCCTCGTGGCATGCCGAACAGAAGTGATTGCCGGGATCGGAGTAGAGCCAGGCTTGGCAATCCTACCACTAGTTTTTGTCGTCCTAGCTAATAGCTTTCCTGTCTGCCAAAGCCCGTACTCGTCAGGACCTTCCAGCGAGCTGAAGCTTGTAGACGTCGTTGGGTGCCATGGATGCAGGATCGGCAGGTGCACATGCAGGATAGTAGAACTGGTTCTGAGCAAGCAGCTGTTTTATATTCCTCACTTGTCTTTCCATTGGAAAGCGAAGGGTTCCCGTATGCCGAGGACGATGTGCTTTCGCCCGGACCGCTTGATTTCAAAAAGTTGGTGCGGCACTGGGCCCTTCTTGAGCCCAGAGGCTCTTCTGGGAGACGTGTCGCCTGCCGCGGACATGTGGGCCGCTGAGCTGAAATAGATGAAGTACAAGAATGGGCCCGACATGCCCCTTTCCGTGACATAGGGTTTCGCAAAGACCATTACTTGCTTAGAGGTTAGGGTGTGGGTTGTATAAACAGAGAGAGAGAGAGATATACTGTTTCAGTTGGTGCAGCCAATCTCCCCAGCAGAGTAGCATACCGAAGCAACGGTGACAGAGTGAGCATGTGCGGTCGGAGCCTTAGAGGGTGTTGCCAGTGCCTGAGTGTTTGTTGCAGTGCAGTCTCGCCATGTTGCTTTTGGATAATGGGGGCTTGCGAGTAAAGGCAAACAATGCCTTGAACAGTTTTTGAGCCGGCCCCGCACGGTTTAATCCCGGAACCGAGACGAGGCGCGAGGCGGGGGTTTAAAAAGTGTTCTATTCACAGGGGGTCTACCAGCGCAAGCCAGCGCCTCGCTCACTCGGGGGAAAAATTTCACCACGAACACCTACCAGTGCGCACACGTGCGCGGAGTAGGTCGCGACCTACTTCTGGCTGCGTGCAAGCAAGAGAGAGAGAGAGAGAGAGAGAGAGAGATATATCTATATATATATATATATATATATATATATATATATATATATATATATAGGCCCTACACCCCTAGCAGAGCAAATATATATATATATATATATATATGGATTTCGGGCTTGGGCTGCGACTCTGAGGCCATTGGCGTCATGGCCTTCGTGCTTCTTTCTGGAGACCTTCCTTTTCAGGCGCTTACACTCCTGGCTGCCATTGAATCCAACGGTGTAGTTGACACTACGCCTAGCAATGGATATGACCAAGTAAAATAGTGCCAGGCAGTGATGTGGTAGGATGTGGTAGGAAAGCATGGTGCTGGTTCTGACAGAGGAAAGTAGTGCATAATCGGGATTGAACAGCGTGCGGGGTCTTGTTAAGCACCAGGGCTACGTGAGATTGCCTCTAGAGTGAAAGTAGAAGCAAAGTTGTGAAAACCAAGGCATGGTCAGCTGTAGCTTGCCATCACCATGGCCATACTAGGGCAGTCGCAATTCTAAGCAGCACAAAAAACTTGGCATGTTATCCAGGCCTCCTCCCTCTCCGAGCTGCGAGAGGCGCACGAGCCCCTTGTCCAACGGATTCGGAGAAATGCCGGCTTGAGATATGAAGTAGTATTATTAATAGCAGTAGTAACAGAAAGACTGAGAGCAGCCCGTGGTGCGCTTTCAGCTTGCCCTCGCCCAGGCGGGCCCTTGACGGCGATGCTGTGTTCAAGGAGATCTCGGAAGCCAGCAAGCAGTTGGTACTCCAACTGCTCAACCCGGAGCAGGCCTGATGAAAAGACAACTCCTGGAAACAAGCGCTTTCCGCGCGAAATACAAGACTAGTGCACGTGCGCCAAGCGAACTCAATAGGATCACAGACAGAGAAGCCATGATAACTTGTACCATGAGATTCTGTCACTGTCTTCATCCCCACTGAACTACGGGGTGTTCCTAAGGAATCATGCAGCACTACAGCATGAAAAACAGCTGGAACTCACCATAGAATGTCTCTGAGTGCTTGACAACCAAAGTTTCAAAGAGCCCGTGGGCTTTAACCCCCTTCACTCAGATGGCAGGGCACACCCGGGACTGTCATTTTCAGACCAGAGCCACCTGAGGTAACCTACTACTGTACCCCTAATAGACGAACGCTTTTTTTCAACAGCCGTGCCCAGCTGAAACTGTGTTAGAAGGCTCATCCGCAGCCAGGGTCGGCAAGTGCTCCAACGAGCACGTCCTAGGATAACCCAGAAGTATTGTCGCAAGCGGAATTGCTCCACCAGTCTTTCTCAACCCCCCCCCCCCCCCCCCGCCGCCGATTTCCGAACTCGGGAGGCCAAGCGGCTGACGGTGGACCAAGCTCTGGAGCGGCTCGGACCCGACCGTATTCTACTGTAGTTCGTCTATGAGACTATGTTCCAGGATGGCTCCAAGACCTTGCAACAGTTTCACGATCCTAGTCTGATGATATAGCAGTTAGAGCCACATACAGCAATACGAAGGAAGTAATGCACACACACACACACACACACACAGTTCGCAGGGCTCTCGCAGGTTACCGTCGAGCTTTTGCACCAATCCAAGGCTGATCGAAGCGGAGGAAGGCTGTCTCGCACAGGCCAGGTCCAGACCACAGCCGCTTCCGCTCGCTCGCTGTCAGCGTGTTCGAAGCGAATGCTGGAGCAGCTGCCTGCCATGAACATTAGAATCATGGTCGTAGGGGTTCCATTTAAATTAGTAGGGGTTCAAGTAATATAGGACTTGTTTAGTTGGGGCACAGAGTCTAGCATGGACGGAGCCCAACCCCGAAAAAATAGGATTGCAGCGTCTTGCCTCGTGAAGCACACGTCCTATGTTGGAGAGCTCAGGTTGCTGTCCTGATCTGAAGCCGCCGGAGGCTCCGGCAGTTCCTTTGTGCAACAGCAACAGCAACAGGTTGCCGCTACTGCAATGCTTACATTACTAGGTTGTTGCCGCTGAACTCGCCAGTAATCTTGTCTTTACAGATGTTGTGCATCGGTATGCAAAGTCATTCCAGTCCAAACCCTCGTTCTAGCAACCCCCATCCGGCACAAGCAGGTCAAAACCCTCTACTTGGTGCGGCATGGCGAGGCAGCCGCCTGGCGCGGTAGCCATATTTGCCGAAGCCTGGTTCTCTCGTTTCGCTGCACCTCAGTAGTCTCCATGAAATCTTGCTCCGTCAGGTCCACAACATTAAGGAGAAACAGGCCCAGCTGAGCGCCAAGCAACAAGCGTTATCCGATGGCCTCACGCCCAGCTCGGGCGAGTTTCAGGCGCGATAGCCGGGCTCTGCGCTGTAGTCGTGATATCCGTTGTTCTCCGATATGAATACCGAAGGTATTCTCGGGTTTGTAAACGGCTGCCAGCGCCGAAGGCCGTTGAATGCACATTGATTTGTTTCTTTCGGCTTCGTTTCGAGGGACCAGCGAGTAAGCTCATGTGCACGTGCAGGCGCGTGTGGAAACGGCCAGGCGGGCAGCTATGCAAACATACGGGGGCCCTGCCTAAAGGATCATGGGACTTAGTAACTAGGGTTATAATTAGGGTAACTATACTTATATATACTTATAATACTTATAACCCCAATTAAGGTACTTGTAACCTTACTTACTAAGTCCCCTGATCCTTTAAGTAAGCAGCCCTTTCCCTAGTTCACTTCTGCGGGGTAAGACGGCCAGGCCTCCTTGGAGGTTCATGGGTAGTTGTAAGTGGGGTTATAAGCAGGGTAAGTAGAGTTATAAGTCCTATTAGGAGACTTATAACCCTACTTATAACTACCCATGAACCTCCAAGTCATTTGCCTGTTTGTGGTTATTCAGGAAGCAGGTGCTGCAAGATGAGACTCTTCACGACGCTGCACTGTCGCCTTCTGGAAAGATGCAAGCATTGGATGCCCTTGCTGAAATCAAGAGGCTGACGATGCAACTTGTTTCAAGAACGAGATGCATCTAAGCTTTTCGGAGACATTTTCCTCATCAGTCATGCGGGTGGCCGGTATTTAGGCCTGCTACAAGTTCAGGCAAAGCTACCCGCAGCCCACGGCTATCTATGTCTCTCCTCTGCAGCGGACCCTGCAAACGGCGGCGATCCTCTTTCCGGAGCATCCGAGCATTCATGAACCTCACCTGCTTTCGGCAAGCACTTGTTGATCTGTGTCGCGGGGGGACGTAGCAGTAACACTAACACATCCTTTTGACTATGTGTCTGAGCAAGTTTGCTTCGATTTGTGTTCCCCACTAAGACTTTGATCGTGATGAGTTTTGATCATAACGGCCATGTTCAATGCTGGTGCTGCCACAATTTAAATGTGGCAAGGTGTTGGCCATGTTGGTGTCAGTGTTCTGTCTTGTCTGGAGTTTTAAGCCCATTTTAGGCTGTTTGATTCCACCATTAGTTCTGCCTTATGCTACAAGGTGCGAGAAGAGCTGCGTGAGCGCCGCACGGGGTTGCCTTGCGACGAGCGCCAGCGTGCCGACCAAGTTGCAATGCGACAGACCTTCAACTTCATGTCTTTTGAGCCTCGGTGGTCTGAAATATGGAATGTAGCAGTACCTTACCAGCAGTAGTACTCTATAGAAGCGGTCGCAAATGTAGCCAATATGTGCTATGAGAACACTGTTAAGACCAGTGCGTCAAAGGTCCGGACTAGGAGTACAGTCCTACAGAGAGGCTAGGAGCATGATTTAATATGTGTACCGGATTCATTATGAAGCAGAACCCATCACGCCAAAAGCCGCACAAGCCCCGCATTCTCTGGTATCTGTCGACAATGTGAGGATGAGTTGCGCAGTCACGACCGGCAGAACTTCCGACAATGCTCTAGTGCAGAAGACGGGGAAGAGGATGCTGGGAGGGAAGTCGCGCCGGAGGGCACAGCAAGCAGTTTTGCGATGTTCTGCGCAAAGTGTTGCAGGACAAGAACGAGCTGCGTAGCCGAACAGGGCTGATGGAGACGTTGTTGCGTGAACAGGCGCTGCTGCATGAGCTCAAGTCACCAGAGACTGGCCGCAGCTGCCACTTTGCAGGCAGACGGCTGCTTGGCTGTGGTGACGCACAAGGGCTACCTGAGACTCGGCGAAGCAAGGGTCAAAGAGAACAAGAAGGGAGAGAGGTGTATGTTGTGCGGAACAGTAAGTGCTGAAGTGTTATTTTGAAGTCCGTGTGCAATTTCTCGTTCACGATTCGAGAAGCAACTCTTGCTTGCCCGTGTATCGACCCGTTGAAGAACTTCAGGCGGGAGCTTGAACGTGGGCGCCTTGGAGTTCCGGATGCCCAGGAGTTCGACAACTGCGAGGTGCGCGTGTACCAGGCCACCTGCCTGCTCGCCTGATCCGTAAGAGCAGCTGGACCTTTGAGCAGTACTGTAGTAGGCGCTACCTGCTGCAACGCACCTGCTGCTGCTGCCGCTACCACGACCAGGACCAGTATGACCACGACGACTATGCCGACGACGTCCACCACAGACCGACAGCACCAGCATAGCTACCGGCATTCCGATTAGCACCGTCACGACCGTCACTACTACTTACTCATGCTTTAGCTAGTCAGATGGCTCTCGTTGTCACGTTGTCCATCTCTAACCACTCTGGGCAGGTCACACTTCCCGCTGAAGGCCACCTGGCAGAAACCTCATAGGACCACAAGCCCATGGGAGAGTGGAGTGTCATTGTCTTTGATTTGAGTCTGGCTGCAGGCGGGATGCTGGCCAAGAGGCTTTACATCCGGGCGCGATAGAGGTAGTTCAGGTATCTTTAAGTGCTCATCTGAGCTTGAGTTTTAGTTTGCCAGCAGAGGCCTGGCTTAACTAGTCGCACCCCCATTCTCAGTTTCCTGACAAGATCTCCGGTAGCCGCGGTATTCTTTTGAGCGATCCAAACTGTCAGAGTGGGGGGACTAGCAACATTCGCAAGAGGCTTGCAATCTGTTCCGCCGTTTCACCTTCGCAGTTTGGCAGGTTTCAAGTCATCGGTTCACAGTTGCCTGCGGTGTGATTCGACTCGACCTTGAACCCAGCAGAAGCGAACGACAGCGAAAGTCTGCAACTGTGATCTGAGGATGGCCGTAGGTGATTTTAGACAGCCGGACAGACTATGCTGCAGATGCTGCTGTACAAGGGTTCAACCATGACCGCCCAACTTTAGGCCAATTGCATACACGGCGATGTTTGGTTGGGGGACCTCAGCACCGGACAAGCTTAAGACCTTCGACTTGAAATTGCCCAGGCCTACAGTGTAGCCGCATAACGAAGACTGCGCCATCGCAAAGTCCTTACAAGCCTTCGAAACCGGCAGCACTTCTGCATTCGTGCTGGCTGGGACGGACGAATTTTCAAGGATGCGCTCGGGTGGACTCGCTGAGCTTGGGGAGCAACATTTGCGAAAAGGTTGGCTCAGAAGCTCGTCTTCCCGGACATTTCTCGGTACCAAGCCTAAACCCAGAATGTAGTGGAGACTTCCCTTGAATCCGTGCCTGCCCCGTGCGAGTGTTCGAATTGAAGTTTAGGTTTGATTTGGGTTCTCAGTTTTGCTACGTTTTGTTCCTACTGGCTAGATGTTGCAGTCAACGTATGCTGGTCCTGCGTGGCTCTTGGATACCTCGTTTTTAGGAGTCCTTCGGGTTGTCTGAATAGTAGCGGGCTCTGTGCAGATAGTAGTTCAGCTAATTGTGTCTCGCGCACCCTGGCATCTCGCGAGGCTTGTTCGACTTGTGAGAGCATAAACCCTATGGACTCCGGGACTGTGTGGCTTAGGCTTCCATCGCCGAATCCACAGCCTTCTCGGCTGGCGAGGTGCTCTCGAACTGCACCACGGGAAACAGCTGCGTTTTGTGCCTGCCTATTGCGGTCGCTGTGCTGCCGGTTCAACGGTCAGTTCGCCTGGCAACTTGTGTTTACATCTCGGGTCCGGATCCAATTCAAGCTGCCGATGCGATTAGAATTTCCACGACTAAGACCATCACGCGGCCTAAAGAAGCCACATGAAAGAGCTGCAGGCTTGCATCGTGACTTGCACAGCTTTCGGCGGTTGAAAATCGCCGTTCAAACCGGGCTAGGTGCAGACATACCTGGAGTCCCATGCCAATCCTAGGCCCCAGATCCCATACCTCCTGCCTGGTAGTCCTTTCAAGCTCACGCAAGAGACCCAAAAGCGAAAGCCGAAGAAGCCATGACAGAGTTTGCTTGAGCAATTCGTGCTGTGCAGGCTTTTCGGGAGCGATGGACAAACTTGGTTGACGTGATTCCCTCATCATCCTTCCTTGGCGAGCACGGGTCCGATCGGGTGCAGCTTCAAGCAGAAAGCTAATCTACTAGTATATACCACAATATCCTAGTATATACTATAATATACCATAATATAGTATAATACGCTAGTATACCTTTTAATATACCATAATATACCATAATATACCATAACATACTATAACATACTATAACATACAAGAATAAGACACTACAAAATTTAGTAATAAACTATAACCCTATAGCACATAACTATCCCATAGGTATACGGAAAGAAAGCACCAAGGCTCTTCGAGGCCATCGTCCAGATGCCTCGCCAGGTCTCCTTTGCCAAAGTTGGGTAACCTTTTGCATTTTTTATGGGTACTTAAACCCAATTAGGGTTTAGGGTTTAGACTTCAAGAGGCCTGGATGCAAAAGGGTTTAGGGATACAAATTTAGATTTTAATCCTATCCCAACCATGAGCCAGGTTTCCTTGATGCACTGCAAGTACGACTGGCGACGGACTCAGTTTGTCATGCTCTAGGACGATCCTCGCTGGTACCTGCTGCTTTCGCGGAAAGCCCCGAGGCGTTGGGCTGACCTCAATGAGACAAAAGCTGAGTGGCAGAAGGCATCTGGGAGTTTTCGAAAATTAGGGGGTACATTATCTGGGTTCCTTATAACCTACTATTTAGGGTGCTATATTAGGGTCCCCTATTTTCGGAAACCCCCATCCGGTCTAGCAGACCGATTTTGTGCACCCGCTGTTGCGTTCCTTGGAATCTAGAACGCTGACTCCAACTAGGTTTCACAGTCAGACTGATGGGAGTTTCCGAGAATAGGGGACCCTAATGTAGTACCCCAAATAGTAGGATCCTTATTAGAAGGACCCCTAAAATAAGGTACCCCTGATTTTCGGAAACTCCCTAAACCTTAAACCCTCCATAGATCCCTTATAGATCCCTTTAAGGAACCCCTTTAAGGATCCCATCAAAGGTACCCCTAATGACACCAACCCCAGCCTTGACTGAGAGGTGCTCTCCCCACCAATTCGGGTCTTGGAGGTCACTTGCCCCTTCCGGAAACTTGGCGGCAGTTGTGCAGAAAAAGCGGGGAGGGTTTACCTGGACCCTAAAAACCCTACCTTTTTTAGGGTTCCCGAATATGATTTCTTTATATAAATCCCTAAAAAGGTAGGTTCCAGGTAGGGTTTAGGGTTGGAGTCGTATTCCTTTCATCAGCTTCATGGCCAGCTTGCGCGTGCCTGCCGCTGTGGTCCCTGAGGTCCAGAGGCTTTCTGATGCCCGGCCCGATCATCGTGCGCGTCACTTAGCACAGGGCTTCCTGCGAAAGCTGGCTATTCTGTGAATTCGCCCAATGTCGTGTGTAGGATCTCATCCGCAAATCGAAGACGAAGGCATTTAGCTGAAATGGAACACTCGCAAGATGATTTCAATGGTTTCTAATCGTCAAGATGCCATCACGTTGCTGCAGCTGCCAAGCGTTGGATAGCCGCCGAGGCCACCAAGCAACCCGTCGGGGCACCGCGAATGGCGGGACGTAGCCGTCACTTGCTTCCGCATGGCAGGGGCCTCGCGGGGGTTTGTGGAACCGATCTGCAGCGGAGAAATACCGCCTCCTGTTACATTGCCCCTTCGCATGCCCAGATGTGTCCCACAGAATGCTGGAAAACCGTGACCTCACAGATCCCGAGAGACGGATCGAAAGAAGGGGCCTCTTTCCTGCATCGCGTCCCAGGCCTTCGTGGCAATTCTGATTCTCGTGTGCGTTGCCCAGGCAGTGTCGGAAGATCTGGGAGTTTCAGAAAGCTGTGGTACCTTGCTGCGGGATCCCGTTTTAGTCCGGGTTCTGTTTTGCATCTCTAGGGTTCCCTTCTTTCTGAACTATAGTATTATAGTATTATAGTATTATAGTATTATTATTATTATTATATTATTATTATTATTATTATTATTATATTATTATTATTATTACTATTATAATATTATTATTGTTATTATTTATAATATTTTTATTGGTATTATTATTATTGTTATTGTTATTATTATTATTATTATTATTATTATTATTATTATTATTGTTTTTATTATTATTATTATAATATTATTATTATTATATTATTATTATTATATTATTATTGTTATTACTATTATTATTATTCTGCCCATTTATGTGCCAGCCTTCCATGCTGCCTGTGACAGGTGGTACTGCTCATGGGCTGCATCGCAATGCTTGTCATGCAAATAGGTCCCCACCTCAGTTTTGAGGACAGTCGCCGAGGCTCCACATTTAGTAAGTAGTAATGTCTGTATGTATGTACATATGCATGCATACACATACACATCAACAGGTATGCGCATGAATGGGTCAGATGCCAGAGCGCCAAGCATGCTGCAAGCTGCTCATGGTTGCAGCTAGGATGATCGACGAGGATAACACAAGTTAACTTTGTACAGGAAGAGCGAGATCGGAGCACAGGCTTTTGTTTCAGCCATACGGAGAGTCTGATTAAGAGGGATGGACTTGAGAACTCCACTGTCCAGCAATCGGTGGCTGGCGAGAGCGCGAAGGTTCTTTCAGGAAGTGGACAACCCGAAGCAGAGTGCAACAGCAAAGGGTAACCCCACAAACATGTATGGACCTCAAGTTTCTCTTCTTATCCCTTCACGCTGCGATGCCAACACAAAAGATGGACGAAGCTGTCTCCTAGTTACCGCTAGTTACTTAGGTTGCGAGACGTGCCTCATGCGAGTCTGCAGGATGAGGTGGAGGCTATAAACAGGAGAGCGAGAGAGAGAGAGAGAGAGAGAGAGTAGAGAGAGAGAGAGAGAGGGAGAGACCCAATCAAGGTATTGGGTGGGCTTTTAAGCCCGGGACTTTGACCGGTCTCCAAGTCCTGGAGAGAGAGAGAGAGAGAGAGAGAGAGAGAGAGAGAGAGAGAGCTTCCACAGGGGGTAAAACCCCTACACCATAGCCCTGGCGAAAGAAAAGAAAAGAGAGCTTCCACTGAACATGGGGGAAGGGGGCGCCTTGGCGCGGGCTCCTGGAGCCTTTCCCCTGTGAAGTGAAGTGAAGAGGAGGGAGGGGGGGCCTTGGCCCGTGTCTGCGCGAGCAGACTCGTCCCCAAAGGGAAGGAAGGAAGAGAGAGGGAGAGAGAGAGAGAGAGGAGTAGGTCTGGCGCGCAGGGTTGGAGGGGTCACTCCCTCTAGCCCAAACACCGTGAAAGCAAGCAAGCAAGCAAGATGAGAGCGAGAGAGCTTACCGCACATTGTAAAATTAGAACAAGAAAAGGAAAGAGGAAGGACGGTATTTTATATCTGAAATAGAACGAAGCAGACCAGTGGACAGATGTTACGAGAGAAGGACTCAGAGCGCGTGGGGTAGCCATCCATGTCTACTGCGAGCAAACATGAGCCGAAGGAGATGCAAACTGCAAGACACACATGTGCCAAGGCATGCAGTGGCGAGTGGTGCAGTAGGAACTGCACGCTCTGCAGACGGCGGTGCAGTCTGCAGTGACTAGCCACAAGTGGTGGTAGCCCGACTGTTGTTGGTCAAGTAGTACTCGTAAGACTTTCCACGGTACAGTTTCACAGGGGAATGAAAACAAGGTTGTGTTAGGCAAATGGGAGTTTCCGACATTAGGGGCACCTTATCTTGGGGTTCTTATTGTGAGGATCCTACTATTCAGGGTACTAGATTAGGGTCCCCTGTTTTCGGAAACTCCCAAATTTTTCAAGCCTCAACAGAGGCAGGCGATGCGAAATCCTGCTCGCCGTATCACCTGTTACAGTACCTGGACCAACAGTGCGAGCACAGTAGTTCCTTTTTGGGGTTCATATTAATCCAAGAAAGTAATCTCCAAAAGGAACTACTATGGAGGTCGGAAATCACACTGTCACGATGATCTAGGTTTTGCTAGGCCATGGGGCTGTTAGTCAGGACAAGATCTCACGAAAACCCGACACACTACTGCTTGTTTTTGTCTTGCAGCGAGAGATATTATTGAGTGTCCGCTACAGCTGCCCTTGCCACAATGTGTCGCAGCAATGTTCGCACTCGAGCTTGCGACATGTATGCGGCACTTGCTCTCAGGAACTCGAACTTGAACGCCAGCGTGATTGTTGTTCGCTAGCTCTAAATTTGGACGTGTGCTCGTTGTGTTGTGTTTCTAACTAGCTCAGAAGATGTAAGAGTTGCTCCCACCCGGTAGGTCGGGTGATCACAATCCTTGGAGTTTCGAGCTCATTCGAGCTCTCTTCATGACTTCTCCCGCCTGGGATGAGGCCGGCAGTGTAGCAGAGAGCTGCATGTTGCGAGTTCCGCAAGAACAGGGTCCCTGGGAGTGTTCGGAAGTTTCGTTCTCCAGAAAACCCCTCCGGCGGCCAACTTTGTGGCTCAGAGGTGTAGAGCCTCGGAGGGAGAGCTCCGCCCGGCTCAAGGCCTTGGCGAAGAGCTATGCACAAAGATGATGTCGGAGAATTACTCGACAGATCCTGGGAAGGCTTCCGGGAACAGCTCTTGAGCATCTACCTCACAGGGAGAGCGCCGCAATTTGAGTATTCGGTTGGGTATTCTTCTGCAACGTCCAACCCTGCTGCAACGTCCAACCCAGCTAGCCCGGCAAGTGTAGCCTCCCCGTCCTTCCCGACGAGTTTGGCGGGACATCAGAGCGTGAAATCCGTGAAATCAGGGAGGTCATCTGCAGACAAGTCAGGTGACGGTGAGACCTCTGACCAAGTCCAGCGATACCACGGTGGGAGTTTGTGAAAATTAGGGATACCCTATTTTGGGGTCCTTATTATAAGGATCCTACACACTATGCAGGGTGCTTTGATTAGGGTCCCCTATCTTCGGAAACTCCCAGGTGACTCGCTTGCACTACTCGGGTCCAGCCTGGCGAACATGAGTGCCGCAGAGGTGACGAAAATCAAAAACAGGCTTCGCTTGCGCTTGGGTGCCAACTCCTTAAATAAGCTGGTCTCTGGCAAGTCTCTTCTCGATGCCGTCGTCTCGCTCGGCTTGACGATGTACCAGGAGGAAGAATGGATAGGGGTTTGGGTTTTCCACGTGGGTTTCTTGTGTGTTGATCGGCTCTTGTAGCTACAAAGGCACATGTTGGGTCGTTCTGGGACATCCTTAAGCTCTATAGTGTTTGGTCCTGTTCCAGGAGGACATGAACGACTTTGTCAATCATCTGGCTGATTTCGTTGGCTTGTACTTCGAGGCGGATGAGACTCGACAAAGGCGCCCCAGCCAGTCCTTGAACTCACTGTCCATGTTCAGGGCTGCTGAAGAGGTCTGGACCCTCGGCAAACCGAAATGGCAGTGGCCAAGCCCTGATGGGCAAGCGCATCTCGCCCGGAGTGTCACGAAGAGCGTACCCTTCAGCACCGACGGCTCTGCAACTCGCACCTTCAACGTCGTCCCCGCGCAGGCCCTCATGGATGTGTTTCTCTCCACAGAGGCCGATGTGCCGAAGCGAATCTTCGGGCCCCGGCTTATGAACCAGTTCCAGGCCATGCGCGAGATCCTGCTAGCTGGCGATACCAACCGGCTTGTGGCAGAGTCTGGGTTCT